AGGGTGACACAGGCCGTGAAAACAACCTGAAGGCGACACACGCCGTAAAAACAAGCTCAAGGCGACACACGCCATGAAAACAACTTATAAGCGACACACGCTATAAACACAAAATGGAGAGCAAAATACGAAAGACACCATGAAACTAGCGAAAGCGACACACGCCAGAAACGGCAACCTAAGGGCGACAAACGCCGTGAAAACAACCTGAAGGCGACACACGCCATGAAAACAACTTATAAGCGACACACGCTGAAATGGCTAACTTGAAGGCGACAAACGCCGTGAAAACAACCTGAAGGCGACACACGCCGTAAAAACAACCTGAAGGCCACACACGCCATGAAAAACAAACTTATAAGCGACACACGCAATAAACACAAAATGGAGAACAAAATACGAAAGACAGCACGAAACTAGTGAAAGCGACTCACGCCAGAAATGGCCAGCTGGAGGGCGACACACGCCGAGGAAAACCAACGTGAAGGCGAGACATGCTATAACAACTGAAAGCGACGTACGCTATGAAACAACTCGAAGCGACACTCGCTATGAAATGAAATGGAGAATGATACCCGCCATGAAATCCAGTCTGAAAGCGACTCACGCTATAAAAGTAACTCGAAGGAGGTATCACAGCCGGGCGAACGGCTTCCAAAACATGAGGAAGGATAGCGTCAGGAGCCTAGGCCATACTCAACGACGAAAACCCGAATGGCACACAAAAAACGCAAGTATATATGCCCTCTCGGGGCATGAACACATAGAAAAGCGATCTGATAAGTGATCCTGATGTTGGCAAAACACTTAAATACCACGCTCAATACCCAGGGGTGATGCAAGGGTCCCAGGAGGGAAAACGTGTTAATTTATGGGGCCCGCGTGCCCATTTCGGAGCAAACATATCAATGAAAATAGAAAGGTCTATTTTTCCTCTGTAGTAGTAACAATCCCAGAAGTCATTTCAAGAATGATCCTCGCAGTTGTGAACTCAATTTATGAAAATGCATAAAAAGCTTGAAAAAAATTCAGGACTTCAACGGGGTTTGAACCCGTGACCTCGCGATACCAGTGTGATGCTCTACCATCTGAGCTATGAGGCAAATGATGTTGGGAACTGGTCAATTATATGTACATATGTTCCCATGAAAGAGATGAATGTGTTAAATAGAGAATAATACATGGACGCTTGGAGATATGGAATTTATCTTCTCGTGTTCACATTCGATATCTCACTCGTTCGCTGCGCTCACTCGTTCGATATCGATGTGAACACTCGAAGATAAATTCCATATCTCCAAGCGTCCATGTATTATTCTGTTTATTATATAAACATACTGATGACGGCGTTTTTGATGATTTTCCGAAGATTTCCGACCACCTTCCGAAGATTTCCGAAGATTTTTCAAATTGTCCCGAAGACCAGACGAACGTTCCCGAACATTTTCCGAGAATTTCCGAAAATTTCCGAAGATTTCCGAAGATTGCCGAAGATTGCCGAGCACTTTCGAGGAAGACCCGAAGATGTCTCGATGATACACCAACGAATTTAAGTACAATTTAAGAGGCAAACCTGATGTCAGTGAAATTATCGATATCTTCACATGTAAAAATATCGTATTTTTACGTGTGTTCAGATACCACATTTCTTGGTGGTAGAAATCCTTGTAAAACACTGCAGTTTATATAATAAATGTCATATAAGAACTGCGGAAGTGAAATCGAATGAAGAATTATCTTCGCAGTTGTGAACGCAATTGATGCAATTGCGTAAGAAGCCTGAAAAAATTCAGGACCTCAACGGGGTTTGAGCCCGTGACACTGGTGCGATGCTCTAACTGAGCTATGAAGCCACTGATGTTGCTGGTCAATTAAATATTCATATGCTCCCGTGAAAGAACTCCTCTCCCAAATCCCAGAGGTCTTTGCAAACGATAACTCGGTACAGTTTCCATCTCTTTCTAAAATGGCGAATCACATTCTTAAACAGATGGCATCGAAAGCCAGAACTGTTATAAGTGTAAGCCCAAGTAAAGCTATTATCAAGAACCAAGAAACTGACCTCCTCTTCCAAGTCCTCTACATCTGCTTCCTGTTTACTTGTGTCATGCTGAAGGTATCCATTCACATCCACCCCTTTGTTCAACGTAGCAATGTTATCCGTAACATTCATCACCCACACCCCCTTGGGATTCTCTCCCCAGTTATGCACGGTCATGAATGTCCAATCATGAAGCCCATTCTTTGAATCGTCATAACGCCGGGTAGAAAGCATCTCGTTTCTAGTCCCACTCGGAGAAAACAAGTCTACACTGACGTCACCACGACGCCGATGTTGGAAGCTAACTGTTAAGGTCACGTGCTCTACCTTGGTGATTTCCTTGTCAGTTCCATCGCATGCAATGGTATCAATAGTGATTGATAGGGTTCCGCCAGCGGGGATTTCCCTGAAAAAGACGCCGTTTAGTCAGCAGAATATCCACGAGTTAGCAGTACAATAAAAAATTAAGCAATTCTTACAGATTCAAAATGTTAGAATAACAAGAGTTCTCGCCATGCCACTTATGCTGTAGGTTTATCTTTTATTTACACCCGATACTTCTTTTTGCTTCAGTTAAGAAGCGCAGATAATTACCAGATATTAACTGCGCTCGGAAAAACAGTGCAGTAAACTGGTAACCTAAAGAGATTGCCGGGCTATCACGACAGAGAATAATCATTTCTCAACTTTATAAGCTAGAGCAAAAGCCCAAGGGAGCTACTCCCTATAACGACCTACAGGGGGAGGCTCCGGGCGAAAGGGATACCTTTTTCAGGCTTCTGTTAAATGAAAGAATAATGATTTCGTAAAAGGAGTATATGAAAGAGTCGGGAAATCTGTCATTCCAGTCTCTGAATGGACCAAGAGGGCTAACACCTAATGCATTTTATGGATGTAAAAGAGACATGAAGACTTCCCGATTTAGTGATTTATTCTTATTAAAAGGACGGTGAATTTACAGAATTTAAAGGGATGCAATGTTTTGAACCACTTGTAGGTCTGTGAAAGTGGCAACATTTGTTGTCAGTGGGTGCTATACGAAAAGGGTACCTTTTCAGTCAAAATGGTTCATAAAACGGTAAGGGGTTGGACCTCGGGGTGGAACCTCCCCGTATAAAGCTTCGTTGGGTTCCCCCTGGGTAGCAAACGAACGAAACGGTTAAAGTACTATTAACGAAAAACTGAAGGCTGCATTGCGGATTATTGTATATGACTTACTGTTGCGTTTGACTGGAGGGTCCGTGGCAGGTCCTTTGTGGAGCCACATTTTTCCAAGTCTTTGCTCTTTTTACCATTGCTGAGGCATCAAGTCTCCCAAAACCAAACTTGTGATTAAAATGATAACCGGCTCCGTTCTTCATCCATCCTTCATCCACGGGACTTGTTACTTGAGCGGTTTCTACCACAAGGTGCTGGACATCCCGCCATGTAAGGTTAGGGCTAAAGAAACGAAATAACAACAACAAAGTAATGATGAGACGGTTTATGCCCAAAATATAATGTTTGTAACAATAAAAATGATCATTTTTTGCAACTCAAAACTGCTTACTGTGTTTCAACAGGGTTTTCAATAGCGCAGCGAATGTCATACAGTTAAAGAACGGGCTGTGTCTTGGTGGACAATAGTAAAGACAATGTACGGAAAAAGACAGAGCACTTTTTTGAAAATCTGTAAAGAGCTTTGTAAGGTTTGAGGGAAAGCTATGGCGTTCCTCTAATCCGGCATCGCTCTCTTGTTTGAGCGATTTTTAAAAGCCCACAATTGATTTCCCTTTTTTTACAATAACGCTTATTTTTCCGTGTCCAACTTTTGGCCCAATAGAATCGAAACGAAGTTCGGCATTCGTACCCAGTCTCTTGCTCGTTTAGAAAATGACTAATTGTGAGCTTATTCTATTAAAATACTTAGACAAGAGTTCAGTAAGTGTGTTTGGTTCCTAGTCAGCTTTTTAAGCGTATTTGGACAATCCAAAAAAAAGAACCATCGAGCAATCAGGATTTATCAGAGGTATGCTGCGCAGGTAGAGATTTTGGTCTTTTGTTTTCCTTTTTATTTGCAGAAAACTAGATAAGACAACTGAACACCGTTTCTTGTCTCTCATCATATGGAAAAATTATATGGAAGATAAAAGGTCATTGGGCTACGAAATATCAACTCACTTGGCTTGAAGAACTAGAGCGAACATTCCAGCCGCCAGTGGGGCAGCAGACGATGTTCCCTTGAACTCCTCGGTGCACTTATGATGCAGATCCGTGGTCACCTAGAAAAACACAGCGTCACACATTACATAAAAAGCGTTTTCACTCACGTCGCTAACAGCTTTGCAAATTGAGTTGCTACAACAAATGGAATCGTTTACATAAGAAAAGAGTTCAATTCCCACAGGGCTGGTTCGAAACATCAACATGGCCGCTGTGTTATTGTTTTGGGACACCAAAAGAGCGTTTTCACATGACGTCACGGCGGCCATCTTGGTGTTCCTAAAACAATGAAATGGCCGCCATGTTGGTTTTCCAAATAAATCCCATAGAAATTGAACTCTTTTCTTATGTAAACGCTTTCTTTTGTTGCAATAAATTTGGATAGATCTTGGCCACGTGAGTGAAAACACTCTATGAGGTGTTTTGGGAGTCCAACATGGCGGACGTGCACGACGTCACGTGAAATTTTCACCCTTTCTCTACAGGTCCGTCCAGAAAATATCTGCAATAACACAGACCTCATCCACGGTTTATACTTTTATTTGTTTATTTATATTATTTATTTTATTGAAAACAAAATAACTTTCAACATGTTTTTAAAAAGCTCCTCTTGTCGAGTAAGCAACCTCATTTCTAAGCGGGTGACATTTTTTCCCTTCGGCGCTTTGAGTCTCGTTCTCGTGTTAAGGGACAAAACAATTTTTCACAAAAATTTTTTTCCCAAAAGAGAAAAAAATCAAGTTATACCAGCTCTCAACAAAGGTAACCTTTGCTGGTCCCTCGTTCAATTAAGATTCGCTACCAACGTGCATTGGAGAAATCGCGGTTCTCTGGCAGGTTCTTCTATGGAATGAAAACGAAAATAGCATACGACCAACTATCCTAGCAGCAGAGAAGGAAGCTTTCTTTCGCTTAGCATGAATCAAGTAAATTCTTTGTTGAGCAAGCCTACACGTTGCTACGATTCAGTTTCGAAAACAGGCCTAATCGCCGTGTGCTTGGTAAGACAGGCTCAGTTATGACCATCAGTTTATCAATGAACAAGAGAGGAAACAAGATTGACTGGTCGAGAAGTTTGGCCTTCGGCCCCGGAATTCAAAGGCTTAACGCCGTTCAGGTAGAGGCTTCTTTTCTTCTCCTGGATCAAGCTCTGCTCGCAGGGTGACGACTACTGAACCATTTGCCATTTCAATCATTTTAATGATCAGTTAAAGGTTTTAAATTATATTACCATTTTGTTTTCTTCTTTCTCCCGGTGTGACCCTCCATTAAATGTAACTCCTAGAGTGGACGAGCATAGCTCGGTGTAATAAGCTGACAGGCCATGGTCGCCTATGCAGCCCACTGATATGGTGTATATACTGGTAGTGTATCCATCACAGTTACAGTCGTCATCTGTTAGTCCTCCATTACCAGTCGCCCACACATAAATGTTACCTTTACCTCCGCGACCCTGTGAATGTTTAGATAAAGCAAGGGCAAAATGATTTAAATGCTTCAGGCAGCGCTTGGAATAAACAAAGGACTCTTACTAACAACTGAACTGTAATATATCGGAAAAAGTTGAGTGATGTAATATTCCAAAACCTTGGAAGATTTACTTTGTGAAATACTTTCAAACTTAGTTAAATAAACAACACACCAAACATGTCTTCGTCTTACAAGTAATTTTACCTTAAGAGCGCCCTGCATTAGCGCTTCTTGTGCAAGTTTTCCTGGTTTTCCGAACGTCTTCCCGTCATCTTTAGGACCCCAGCAATTGCTGTAGATATCAATATACTCGGATTGAAAGCTTAGTGAACTCCCTTCCAATACATCAGTCGCTTGACCATCTAACATTCTCACTCCTACATTAGGGATAAAAAAACGTTTTGGAGGTGCGTTACTTCCTATCAATCTGTTTTCTTTGAATCGTTTCCTTTGACGAAGTTGGTGATAGTCTGGTAACTGCGTAACGAAAACGTTTTGCAATATCTCGTACTCAAGTAGCCTGCCATGGTAGACGCCTTTCATAGGCTTTAGTTTCACATGCCCGTGAAAAGGGGCGTCCTCAGACTGCTGCTTAATAAGTTTTGAAGGTGTAGGGAACTGGAATCGAAGTATTGGAAGGGCTAGTAACAGGAAAATTCCTTTGTGCCATCCCTGCCAAATTTTCTTGATCACCACCTGGGCGGTTTCTACTACTTTTAAATTTCGGTTCTTTTTTGTTTCCTGACATTATTATGGTATTCCCATACCTCCTATATTGGCATCATAAGCCACTCCTACACCGCAGATGCTATTGTTGGCAACTGCTGCCACTTCTCCAGCGCACCTCGTACCATGACTAGAAAATAGAAAAAAAATTATTTTAAGGAATGAGACCTTTTAGTGGGGTTACGTATGTCCTTACTAGTCTGAATTTCAAAGCCTGTCGTTTCGCGTATAATGAGGAGGAAGCCATTGACGCTGTCGGTATTCTACTATTTGTCACTGTCGCGGTTTCAAGCCGTGTTTGTGTCGTTTGTCACCATTTCTGTTGTCCAATGTTACAAGGCCATGTCGCTTGTTGAGATTTTACCCTGACAGGACCTCGGGAATGTCATGGAAGATTTTGCATATACTCTGGTTTTTTGCTCGTAAAAAGTAGGTACGCAGCACTCTATTTAGTGTTATAACTGAATGTATGACGCCGCTTCAAGCAAAATGATGGACTGTACACGAAGAAGTGCAAAGCTCCTAGAATCGTTTTGGAAATCAACTAATTAACCCTAAAAATTAGCGAAATGTTAGCATTTCCATTTCGCACGATGTGTTATCTTTCAGTGAATACTTTCGGGTTTTCTTTTAACCGTTCACGTTGTTAACAGAGCATTCAACAGTTTTGCGCTAGAAAATACGAAGCTGGGACTGATTTTGTATAGGCTATACGATCCTGCTTTACCCATGAACATATTGCTGAACAAATACAAGTTGACATATGAGATGTCATGCACAAGATAGAATGTTTCTTCTGGTTTTCAGACAACAGCCGAATTGTTTCTTTCACCGACGTCGAAATGTCTTGATAGCAACCACCAAAATTTGGACAGAGTATCCAAGTAATTCACTTGCTAAGTGGTCAAGAGAAATTATTGAGTCTTAATTCAACGCACACATGTATATTGGGCTCGGTTTTAAAGCGTAAATCGTCCAGTCCCAATCTCTGAAATTAAAGGCCTGGAAGCTAGCAAAAAAAATCCATCAATAAGTCAATAACAAACCAGTTATCAGGATCACTGTCTCTTGGTTTTGGATCAGCATCCATGTCGTTGAAATCATAACTCGCTTTTTGATCCTTAGGGGAAAAAAAATATATTAACGGACTCCAAATATTTGCAATTCGTTCTACTTAAAAAGAGAAAAAAGAATCTCCAACAGTCAACTGGTACAGAAATTAAAGTTAGCATTTATTGCTTTTTTTTATATAGCCAATCACTTTTATTATGTTTCGCAGTTTCAGTGATAATACCAATAATGGCTACTAAAAGAACTAACAGTTAGTGAATGAAAAATGTTTAAGAGCAATTGCTTGTTTCCTTATCACATTGAGATTTCTGAAAAAAAATAATAACTGCAAAAGAAGTTAAAAGAAAATATGTTGAAAGCCTTTTTGGCCTTTTGTTGTATTTTCAAGTAATATATCGCACACAAGACATGGTGTTTCATCACATATAAAACACAGCAGACCGGACATTTATCTGCCGATAATGAATCATAGTTAATGAAGTGAACTTACAAAGTTATCTCTAAGATCTGGATGCGTGTGATCCACTCCGTCATCAAGAATACTAACCACTACCCCTCTTCCCGTGATTCCCTGTCGCCAAACTGGCATCACATCGAGGTCGACGCCAGCTGGACCTGTGGACTGGCCTTGATTTAACTGTGAAGAAAGGTAGAGTACATTCGATCACTTCTACATTAAAGGCGATGGATGCATTTAATGAAGAACCAATCAACCAAATTCGCTTTTGTAATTAAGCTAGAAAAGAATCAAAACTAAGAAAGTTGGTTTCCTTTTTCAAACAGCCTTGAAAGCGTTAGGCCGTTCGGGAAATGATCCCGCAGCCTTGTCCCGCGAGAACCCGAGAGAGCGGCGGAAATTGAGCCTAAGAAAATGTTGGATCAACAGCTTGTTACTTGATAACAGTTACTGTATGTCTTGCAGCCAGGATTGAAGAACGTTTTACTCTTTTCCTAGAGTTTATGTTCACTTACGTAGGAAGCAGAAATCGGAAAGAAGATTTTTCAACAGACCAAATTATTAAAGCTTTGATATGAAAAGGTGTGCAGTTTGGCCTCTTAAACTTTAAATATGTCGACTTCATTGCGCAAATTGCAAAATTCACCAAACGGCGAATCTTACAAACATCGAAGAAGGACGTTCTTGGAGCCCAAAGAGGGTAGCTCTAAAGGCCACATAAACCTTAAAAAGAGGTACCTCATCCTAAGTTCATTAAAACTTTCAGTTGTGCAGGGCTGTATAAAATGTCCAATAAACCTAGCCTGGTTACTTAGTAAAGTAAAATAGACTTACAAGATACCACTGGTCATTAAATTTTGGATCCGTAGGAATACCATCCTTTCTTGTTCTTTCTAAAACATGTTGATGTTCAGCCCATACAACCTGCAGTTAACAACAAACAAAACTTGCATTTTATATTAGCACCGGCTTATTACTTAGCTTGTTCTCAGTAGTCTCTGATACATCAGCAATTCTCTTGCAAGAATACCGTCTAGGCCACAGGTAACGCTCCTCCGTATTTGTTAACTTCACCACCACATTTCTTCAAACACTTAAATGAGCTGTTCCAAAATTCCTTAAACTACACTAAGAACACGTTTTTATCAGTTGGGAAAGCTTTTAAGTCAATGAATAATTTTTATTGTATAATGAGTCTGAGGATAGTTTTCTTTTACCTATGGTTCATTAAGGCCCCGTTAGTCGAGGGTAGAGGGAACACCCACCTACTCCAGTTACCCTGGGTGAGCCAACGTTTCATACATTTCCTCATTACAAAACATAACGAACCGTTCACATGAGAAACAAAAAGTTGGCTCGACTAGGCCGGTCACCCTTTCGTGATGGTAGGGTCACCCTCCTAGCCGGGCTATCTTTTTTTCCATATAAACACTTTGGCTTGCCCAACCGGGTCAACTCGGTCAAGGTGACACAATTACAGAGCATGCGCGAGCGCTGTTGGCACGGGCAAAGAAGTCAACTTTGTTCTGATATAAACGCTTGCTAAAGTTTACTTGGCTGGGAGGGTGACCCTACCACGAGACACAGAATTTCTCCACATAAACTTGTTACGAGGCCTACGTGCTTTTCCAATCTGCAAAATCATAACCTCAGTACTGACAGGGACTAACTCTGACGATTATTTTGTTGGAATCAGTTATAAGTGCAGAGCTTTTGGAGCCATTCAGCTCTTGGCTCCTTAAATTCGAATGCGTCCTAAGTCGAGATATTTCATATCGAGTATTGTTTCTAAGAATTGTCAATTGTTATAAAATTATACATGTGACACATTTTAGCTTAGGATCTTGGACCAGCTGGTTGTTTTGATTCATCGATCAGCTGATGTGCTGACTTAATTCTTGTAATGAGATCCTGGAGAGGTGCTCCGAAAGCTCAGCAAAACTTTCTTATTATTTTTAATGACCATCAATCCGTAGCTTTAAATTAATGGAGGTTTATCTTACTTCATCTTCAGATAGCAATAATCTGGTCTTTTCGTGTAGATGTCGCTTGTGCCGCAATCCTTTGCCTTCATGTTTAAAGTGATAATAACCTTTTAGTGATCCAACCTGAATACAAACAAAATGGTCAAAATATCATTGCACAAGACGTCAACTCCTCGTCGGTCTGTATTAAAACAATACCACTGTTTGTGATTACAATCGACTACTCTTACTCTAGAACTGGAATGATGAATATAACAGTTTTATGTATTTCAACTGCGGAGTGAAGAAATGAATGCAGAGACGATCATCATAGTTAAATAAGCATTTTTTGCAATTGAGAAAAGAAAACCTGAAAAAAAAAATAAAGGCGTATTGGGACCCGAGCCCTGACCACCTCTTCCTTACCGGTGCAGCACTTTAACCAATTGGACCGCAAGCCAACTGGGAGCTGGTTGGCTCAGCTGTTTACTTAGGTTGGCCAGTTCCTCCTTGCAGGGTCACTGCAACAGCGCGAGACGCCAATAACTGCGGGCCCGTAAGAGTCCCTTCCTCCACGAGAGATAGACCACCATACCGTGGCCAACGCCCCCTGCTCTTTACGAAGAGAGTGTGGGTTCTTTCACATCCCACAGAATTTATATCTACAGGGGTTGTGAGACGGGGCCTAGTTTATCGTTCTTATCCTAGTAGACTGTAGAAAGTCTAATAAATTACAGATGTTTTTACAAAGGCAGCACTTTCTCCTCTGCTATTTTAAGACCCAGAGTGTTGGTCCGAGCTGGAAAAATGGTGAAACGCTTTTAAAAGAAGAAGCATTTGTACACTCAAAGAAAATAGCAGGAACACAACCGCCCACAGACTAATCATCCCTTAAAATCTTGAATTTGACAAGGAACAGGCAAATGAAGAAGGGGACTGTCAACGCAGTAAGCACGTTCTTAAAAGATTAATTATTTTGAATGAGTAATAAAACAGTTACTGGATTTGGCATTCGTATGAATTGAAGAATTATGCAGATCTCAGAGTGTGTTATCCGCCGAGGCCAAACACTTCCTAGATCTACTATTCTTCGGATCACACGAACGTCTAATCCAATAATTGCTACTTGTACCTACGTTTAACCTTATAAAGGAAAAGTGAGTGCAAAAAATATCGTTAAACCAAAATTCAACGGCGGGATTCGAAGTTTGGTGGACAAAAAATGGACTAATACAGCAGATTCAGAGAGCTATCTACATCAAAAACAGCAAATTACGGCCGACTTGACGCAGTCTCAGTGACCAAACTCCCGAAACTCAAATTCAGTTTTGGCCGATGAGTCTGAGCTGTTTGACGGTAATAGTAACATAGTAACAAGCAGCACTTTTAAACTACGATGGTACATTTTTGCGAAATTTCTCTTTATATTTACAAAATTTCAAATATGAAGCCCGGAAGTTAAATCATAGTCCGTTCTTAGTTATATCCATCTTTTTGCCAACAAGGGCGAATAGGAACGCGAGCCGCCCAACCCCCCCTCCCCCGCCCACCCTTTACCCTATCCAGCATCCCTCCTTTTCGTATCTGTGGGGAGGGAAAAGCGGCAATATCAAGTAATTAAAGTGGTTGATGGTTATGTTGGATCGGAATATCAGCGCCCGAACAGACTGACAAGACCAACCGTACAGTGTTGTTCTTTATCAAAATACTGTTCCGCTTTACTCATTTCATAAACGGAGATGTGGTCAGAATTCCAAGAGCTTTGGCTTCTGATATATGGAACATTTTACATCTGATCAATCGGTTCCATTTTCTCCTTTGAATGTCTTGATAATATACTTAACTGTTAGCGAGTATATATGATGTACATTCAGTTACCTTATTTGGTCAAGTTTCTTGGCCTTACTATCAAAGCCAACTGCTAATAAATCGAACGTAACGTATCATGTCCATGCTTAATTTGTTTTTAAATACCACTTGTGGTAAAATACCACTTGTGATTAATATAAACAATCATTGAAGTTCCAACTAATCGGTTTGTTAATTCCAATGAAAGTAATAAAAACAACCTCATAAAAGAATCGTGTTTACCTTTATGTTTTAAACAACTGTTTAAAGAGGGTGTATCTACAAAACTCTCAGAGGAAAGAGTTGAGTTTTACCCTGATATTGCATGATAAAGCTGAACAAGAAAGTATGAAAAATCTCTCAACGTGCATGAAATGAACAAGTGTATAAGTTAAACAGAAGAGAGAATCAAAGAGGCAAATCTCCAAAAAATTAAGATCACTGGTAGCTAGTAATAACAGTCAGGTATCTGTTGTTAGTGGCATGGCGCATTTTGCGTAACGATGTAAGATCGCTTATGAGTCAAGAAACGCCGGGATCATCTATCAGCCTAGTTAACATCACGGAGCACTTATTTCTCTTTAATTCTTCCCTGAAAGAAAACGTTCGGTGAAACAATAAAAAGTTGCACTTACTCAATGCATCTACCACCAGGTGTAATTATTGACGTTTCAATATCAGCCGGCCAGAACACCCGCACAATAACATAAAGAGTAAACGTTTCCTACCTGACCATAGTTTATAAATCCATGTTTCTCAGCAATTCTATCCGCTACCTTAATCTCCGCTGGGTCGAGTTTGACCGCCCAGGAATTTGTGAACATTAGCTCTCCAGATTCGCTTTTGAGTGCATCTTCGAACTTATGGAGTTGTTCCCATTCTCTTCTTGTAAGCTTTGGCGTCGATTCTAGCGTCCTCTTTCCACGTTTTCGTGATTTCCTAGCGGGTTTTCCAAGGAGAATGGCAGTTTCAGAGAGGAGAAAGAGCAACGTGATGTAAGCTCGCCATCGCAATGGTTTCATTTTATAGTTTTTTTAGGGAAATAGTTATAGAAAATGAAGCTAATTTTGTTGAAAAATTATTGGATTGGCCATCTACTTAACCAGTCTGATGCACATAATAAATCATGGTGGTGGCAGGTTGTGGGTTGTCTTGCTGCAAACGCTTCGCTAAACTTCGTCTTGTTTAGTTAGCCATGCGTGTTGATACATTCGCAAGGTATATCACACAGAATATGTTTGTTACGGAGAACTAAAAAAAATAGAAACTAAATCTGCATAAAAAATGCCCTTAACGTTGAAAGTTCTAACTGGTCAAGCCAAGAAGAAATTTAATGAAACTTGGTAGGGATAAAAGAACAGTTAAGAGAACCGAAAGCTAGAATTAAACAAGCTCGAAAGACGCCTGGACAGAAAACGACGAAAAAAGAAATGATTGGTCCATTTGGAGAGGAACTCATGATGCATTGGAAGCGATTCCAAAGTATTGGGGAAAAAATGATTGCTGATAACTGACTGCCCTTGAATTTAATCAGCATCTAAATTGTGTCCAATACAAAGCAAGAGATGTGATTTGTTATGCTGGAGAAAAATCCGTGAAAAAAACTCTGAAATTAAATCTGCATGAAAATTGCTTTTAACAGGACGAAATATGATTCTGAAAATTGAAGGCAAGGCTGATCGCACAGCTTAGGGTTACAGATTTATTTGCCCAATATTTCGACTAAACAAAACTGGTCTTCATCGGGGGCCAGAAAAGCTTTCTAGCCCCCGATGAAGACTAGTTTTGTCTGGTCGAAATCAGTTGAGCACATAAATTTGTAACCCTTAGATGTCCGATCAGCTGGCCTTCAATTTTAAGTATTATTTTGTATTGCTGATCCTGATCTACAACAATGAGCCGGCCTTGCTGTTTGCCCACTGGTCCTTACAAGAATTGTTCGCGAAATATGATTGGTTAAGTTGGAGGAAAATTTCATGCAGTACCTTGGGAGGGATTTTGATAGCGGAGCCCCAAGCGCGCTTTTGTGGGGCCCCATAGATAAGAAAATTTGGTTATCTATTGTTGGTTTTCACATGACGTCACTAAAATTCAAACTAGAAAGCTATCGATAGAACCGATATTTAACTTCCACGATGTATTAGAACAGCGGAAAACTAATTTTCATACAAATTTTCGCTTCAAAAGGGTTCTTGGTTGTGTGATAGAGTTCGCTTGAATTTCTAAGCTTTTGCGTGACGCGGCATTTACATGACGACCAAGAGAGCTGTCATGTAGGTTAAAGAAATTACTTATTTCAGGGAATTTTGCTCTCTAAACAGTTCATGTATCAGAAAAAGTATCACTTTAATGTTTACGAGCTCCTCGAAGAATAAATTCACGCTTTTGTAGCAAAACTCGGTAACAGATGTTTCTGTTGGTTGCCGTCCGCCATGCTAGTGCTCAGCCGGATGGGCACCAGCATGGCGTCTCCATACAAATCTCTATTAATTTTGTGAAAACATTTCTTCGCATATCTCTTATACGATATATTTCCTCTTGGCGAGGGTCTGCATATTTACCTCCTTTCATTTCCCAGATTCTGGACTTTGTCTATTGAACGGTTTTGATTTTTATTTTGGTCTATTTTGAATGGCGTGACACTGAAAACCAGCAATCCATTTGAGAAATTTTGGTGGTCACGTGACCTTACGCCCGCCCGCCCGCCCGTCCACAACAGGGGGAAGCCAAGGTGAATGTCACTTTCTAGCTAGTGTGGGGGCCTGCAACATGATATTGCACATCAACGTTGTGGTCAATTGACAGCTGTCAAAACAGGGTAGCCACTGACCAGTATCACATGACCATATCGCGGGATCAAGTATCCATCCATCGAGGTTACGTTTTCTTTTGAAGTTGTCTGCCGAGGGGTTACTAGTTTTTATCTGATCACAGGCTCAACTCCAAGCGGATTTCTTTGCAATGGGTAAAACTCATTGAAAAAAGCACACGATGAGAGAAAAGACTGGTTGATTTGCAGAGAAATTTAGGACTTTGAAAGAAATTTCTGAGCCTGCGAGCGGACGTCACCTATTTCCTATGTCCCTTCTCAGCGTGAAACAATGGAAATAGGAGGCGTCGGTACGCAAGCTAGTGATTTCCCAATGAAAAACTGATAAAAGAAGCGTTGTTATGACAAACCCCTCTTAAATTTGTCATGTACGAAAAAAGACGCTTGAGAAGAGACATGATTGGTTGACTTGGAGTGGAATTCGAAGCAGTTAGATATCCAAGGTCTCTTCCACCGTCGTCTTCGTTACACACACGATGGCGGGAACAGGGGATGATGGGAAGGGAGAAGAGAAGATTGTCTTTCCCTCCATTTCCCACTTAACAACTATCCTTGCGCGGCACTACGGAGAGGTGAGAGAGAACTGGGGAAGAGTCAGATCCAAGAGTCGAATTGTTAACACAATAGCGATCCAGAGAAAAACCCTAAGATTAAATCGAGCAGGAAAGGAGACATAATTGGTGGATATGGAATGAGTTCTCTTGCCACGAATTTCCATTCAAGGGAAAGGTAAAGTAATTTGTCTAGACCGACAATCTGAGAACTGACTAAAGCCCCAGCGAAATTGCCACTTTTAGTGCTGTACAGTCCTTTGATAACAGCTTACATCCCTGTCATTTGGGTGGTTGTGTACCATTTTGAAGCTGATACCCTTGGCCTTCATCAAACTATGTTCAGCTGCATTTGCAACGATATTCTAAACTCCACCCCGAGACCCTATTCTAGACCAAAACCCTCGGATCTGTAGACCCGACCTCAGACTAAACTGTGTAAAAACCCTGGCTCGGGGACAGTAGAACATAATCTTTGGTGCCAATTAAATTTTTGTTTTCTCGATTTGAAGTTCGTAAAGACAGCAGTTTTACCAAATAAAAGTTTCATTCATATTTTCTCAGTACATGAAAAAACGAAAAACGTATGCATATTTATATATGTTTAGGGAGCTGCATAACTCGACAAGTTTGATCAGTTAGAAAGAATTTTCCAGATTTTCTCTCATTTCTCTCATTCAGATAGTGGAGAGTGGCGCGAAATAAAGAGCGGAGAAAAAAGGCAGAAGAGGGGGAGTGGAGGGAACAACATCAATTCCCTCCCAGGCCCCCCCCCTTCCCCTCAACCCCATCCCTGTTTTTCTTCTCATTTTTTTTTACCCCCTCCCCCCCTTTTTTGGCCTGGTTCCACGAAAATTAGGGAAACCCGGCCTTCCACTAAAACCCCCCCCCCCCCCTCACCACGCCTGTCGTTCCTTCCCCGCATACACCCTCAGTCCCCTGCGCCCTTCCCGACTTAGTAGCAGAGAACATCATGTGCTGAACACTCCGTGTTCTACGTCACCCCCGCCCCCCCTCCCACCCCCTCCTGCTTTTTTGCCACCTTTTTTTTTCCCCGTTCTTCCGTTTTTTGACCTGTTTACACGAAAGGGAGGAAAACCCCGGTGTCCCACTAATCCCCCCCCCCCCCCCCCCCCTTCAACTCCATCGCTGTTTTTCTGCTCACTTTTCTTTTCGCTGTCCCCACCATTTTGGGCCTGTTTACTTGAAAGTTAGGGAACCCGGGCTGTCCATAAAATCCCCCCTTCAACCCTATCGCTGTTTTTCTGCTCACTTTGCGCTGTCCCCACTATTTTGGGCCTGTTTACATTGAAGTGGGTAACCCGGACTGTCCATAAAATCCCCCTCCTTCAACCCCATCGCTGTTTTTCTGCTCACTTTTCTTTGCGCTTTCCCTACTATTTTGGTTCTGTTTACACGAACCCTATCCCTGCTTTTCTACTCACTTTGCGCTGTCCCCACTATTTTGGGCCTGTTTACATGAAACTGGGGTAACCCGGGCCATAAAATCTGGCATTTTTATTTGATCACGTTTACATGATAGGTGGGGTGACCATATAAGAGATTACGAGTTACCTTACCTACCTGGGTTCCCCTACCTTCAGGTAAACAGGCCCTTAAACGCCTGGAACAGGCTTTATTCATAACTGAGGAGGCAGGTAAACTATACCATCAGGTGTGCTCGCTCCTGGTTATGGATTCCTGGTCATATATGGCGAGTACTATCCACTTTGCTGCTCCAGAAACATCATATGAGCAACCACTGACCATGACAAAGTTTTCCCTTTATCTTTTATAGTTCATTATATTTCAGTGGACTTGCTTCATTCTCTAGCGTTTTCTAAATACTCTTTACCTAGTAACATCTACAAACAACATCCAACCTCAAGAAAAATTCAACTTTTATTTAGTAAAGTGGTGAAAAAGGAGCAATTCTATTTGAGAGAACTACAAGTGAATGACAAGAATGATAGCTAATGATCGCAACGAATTATTACTGTACATAGCGATAACAGACGAAGCAACATCTGAAAGATTTGTGTTGGATTTGTGAGGGGAAAACGGAGTGTTTAGCCATTGGAACGAATCCTTGGAATTCACAATCTTCCAAAAGATCTTCTTGAAAAGTCCATGAAAAAAATGCTTAGTGCTTCCAAGTTTTCGTCGACAACGAAATTTGTTACGTGATGTGAGGTGATATGAGTAGATTCACGCATGACTTGGTTTAGAGAGGTTTCCACACGCGGGAAACTCACGCAAGCACACTTTCACTCCTTATTGGCTACATAGTGGTCAGCGATTTCAAGTCATTATTTAAGTTTAGCTAGGGCAAACAGAATCAACTGCGAAATTGTTTTTGTTTCGCGCTTTATAAAAGCTACTTAATGAGCATTTTCCAGCTCTTAACTCGAGAGAGCATCGTTTGTGTCTATTCTTCATTTGTTTATTTGTAGCGCAGGTGATTTCAATTTGATGACAGTCAAATTTGCGGAGCCAAAATACTGTGAAGTCTGACCCACATACTTGAGAGCAGAGAGTCATGGCAACACATTTGCCATAAGTATTAGGATCTTCAAATTGAAGACACGTTCGACTAATTTGAGAATTTCAATTATAAAATCGATAAATTGATAAAAATCTCTACACTAAAGGTTCTTCAGTTAATTTTCAGTTCCATAAAATGTCAGCACCCATTTTAAAAGAACACCCGAGCACCCACTCGCTAAACACGGGATCTCCGGATTTTCATAGCCAGCATTTACTTGAACACGTTGAGTAGCAGTCTCTTCAGCGGCTACTTGTACTTTTTTCTTGATGTTATTTGAATTATTATCGACTAAAACACTTTTCTTCCCTACAGATGGTGTTCCTGTATTTGTGGATTTAAATTTCTTTTTCTTAAGCGTCTTCACGAACGCTCTTTGGAAATCGTTGTTACTATCAGTGACGAGATCCTCTTCGACGTTAGGCTCTTCCTCGCGGGATTTCCCGCCACTGCCCGATCCCTCGGGATATGAAGTGTCCTGTTCTTCGCCTTGGGAGCCATCGTCAAGGTCTTCATTATTGTCTCCACTAGCAGACCCATCGACATATAACCTATCCCTCGGATATCCCTCGCCACTACCAGACACTTGCCCACTTCCCGATACCTCGGGATAAGCAATTCTACTTCTGTCATATACGTATTCTGTAGTGCTCGCAACATCGCTTTCTGTGAGGTTATACAGATCATCGATCACACTTTGTTCACTCATTTCTGAACTGTTGTGATGATGAACATGATCTCTCCTGACGCCCGGTGGATACGGAAAGTCTACATGGTCATTCTGTAAAATGAGTAAATAAAATAGATAAAAGTTTTAACAAGACATTTTCACAGTGTTTTTTACGACGAAATACTCCTTGCCAGACCCTAGACTAGATTTATTAAGCGTTTACTCCCTTAAAAGCTACGTTAAAACAGACAACAAAGCGATGAAAAGCGATATTATTTAGTACGTATGTGAAAGGGGTGCCGTTTACATATGGAAGGTATACGAGTCCTCCCTGGGACTGTTATTTGCAGCTCTCTGTTTTCTTGTTGCTGCTTAAATGGCAAGTGATAAGAGCAAAGGATATTCTTAGTACCTGGAGCCTCATCTGCTGTACTTTAGCTTGTTGCTGCTTGGTCTGGTCATCTATTACTTGTTCTTCTAAGTCTTCAACATCTGTGTCTTGTTTGCTGGTGTCCAGATGTAGAGTCCCGTAGCCATTCAGTACTCGGTCACCAATCTCATTTAGCGGATTGTCGATTATCTTAAGCTGCCAGAAGCCACGCGGATTCTCACCTTCATATAGCGACAAATTGAACTGGATCAATATAAGATTCTAAGAAGCTGCCCACGCACCTACCCCTCCCCCAACCCAACAATTTTGCCCTACGTGAAAAGTTAGTTTCAACGTTGGTTTAGGGAAGGGGTAGGTAGGCAGATTCCCCGAATCCAGCAAAATTCGCCTTTAGATATCAAGGCAAGATGCAGTGAAGACTCCCTTACACGGCCATTTAATGCCACTCTCAGTGGTGTCCCTGATTAGAAAGAGTTCACCATAAAAACATCTCTTAAGTAATTTCCCATAAGGGGGACATCCTTCTAAGATTGCCTCTTAGTTCAAAGCCCAATGGTGCGCATGTTTAAGACAACTTTCCACACAGTCAACTCTTTGCGTATGGACACATCTCTAAAACACACACCTAAAAGAACTGGGTCCTCAATGTTCTTTGATTATTAGAGTGGTTTTCGTTTGAGTGTCGTAAAACCAAAACCAAAGTAATTACTCTGGCCAATCACATAGGACACAGACAATACATTGAACCAATCAAAACTCGAAGTAATTACATGTGGCTGACGCAAAGCGTGGGAAAATGCATGCGAGCGCGTCACAATTGGCTTTGGTTTTACTTCTGATTGGATGAAAAGGTGGCGCGAATCTTTTAAGCCAATCGCATCGTGTAGAAAGTGCAAAACCAATTACTTTTCGACACTCAAATGAAAACCGCTCTACTATTTATTTGACTGTCTATAATGCAGGAGTGCCTTATAGAGAGTGCTGGGGTGTCTGTCTTGAATACAGACACGTGGTTAATCAGTATCAACGGTGTCCGACTTAGCGAGAGTCCACAGTCCTCTCAAAACACATCACTTACCCCAAGTATGCACAGTCATAAAGCCCCAGTTATCAAGTCCCTCCTTGGAGTCGTCATAGTGACGTGTAGACAGCATTTCGTTCTTTGTTCCTGACGGCGACATCAAAAGAACACTGACGTCACCGCGCCGCCGGTGAATGAAGCTGATGGTCAGCACNGGGGGGGGGGGGGGGGGGGGGGGGTTGCAAGGAGGGGACATACACAAGAAAGGATTTCCTTTCCCCCGCCTTGATTTCCAAGTGGATAGACGGGTAATTTTTGAGTGACTATGGGGCTACGTCGGATAGGTATTGATTTATTCTCGATGGCCCCGCGTTCAACTCCTCGGCCATACTTGTAAGTAGTCAACTGGTTTGCCTAAGGCCAATTAATATTCTTACTTGTACTTGTCTCTACCCTTATTATTCATTCAAAATATTTCTCCGTTTCTGATTGGCTCAATTTCCACGGCTAATTCTTTAGAACCAGCTTGCCTTGACCAAATTTGGAAGACGTTTCCAATATACGATAAAATGACGTCAATAGTACAGTTTAATCGCCAAAAAACAACGGCAATCGAGAGGCCCTGGGGATGAGGTTGTGTTCTTTTGGTGGGGCGGTACAAAATGGCGGAACATTTCACACGTTTCGCGAAGAAGAAATAGCCGAACTACTTCCTAAAACATAGCAAGAACAAAAAGAATACAACTTGACGGATGACCGATAACAGTCTCCGAGATCTACATAATTTTTCACATCATACGAAAGCCGAATCCAATAATTGCCAATGTAGGCTATAGGGAAGCAAACTAGCTCACCGTTCTTCCAAACTTGCGGCTCCTGTACATATTCTTTGAGGTGGAACAGTCGTCCAAGTTTTGGCCATTTCCACCATAGCATCAGCATCAAGGCGACCGAAGCCGAACTTGTGATTAAAATGAAAACCAGCTCCGTTGGTTCTCCAGCCATCATCCACAGGACTCGTCAGCTTGGCCGTTCTGACAACAATGTGTTGTACATCTCGCCACGTCAGACGGTTACTGAAAAAAGGGTTCAATGAAAAGAACGCGCCATGATTGGTTAGAACGGATTCATTACGTTGCCATTAAACACTTGCCTAACCTAAAATCAGACCAATTTTTGAAGCTTTTATAGATTCTCTTTTACGTCGTAATTAATTTACCAGGTTTCATTTTAATGGTCACGCCATAGAAATCGGCCATTTGAATGATGGCGTCATTTCACTACTACGTCCAGAATCCTTTTCGTTTTTCCTTTCACGTTTAAATTTGTTATTCCCAGCGAGGGTCAAATAACAAAAGCCCTAATTTGCACAAGAAAGCAAAACCCTGAAGTATTCTGGTCTTAGCAGTAAAATGACGTCATCGTGCAAATGGCCCATTCATCCATAGGCTCCCAAAAATTTGAACCTATTTATACAGTATAATGATAGGCCGGGTACCATATTCAAGCACGGCTGAAGATACGTTTCAGTTGAATGGTCACACCATAGGATTTCATCCACAGACTCACTTTACGAGTCTCAACAAATAACTTCGCTAAAACGCTACGAACACGTACAACGTGCATTAAAAACGCGAACAAACAAACAATACGGGTTATATGCGATAAACTAGGGAGAGAGGGCATCGTACTCTAGCCTTGTAAATCCGAACTAAACGCCTCCAAATTAGACTGAGAAATGAAATGCTTACTTTGCTTCCAACATGAGGGCTATCATTCCTGCTGCTAGTGGAGCTGCAGATGAGGTGCCTTTAAACTGTTCTGTACATTGATGATGAAGATCAGTTGTAATCTGCAATGAAATGTCACCACATTAAACTCACAATGTGTCTCTGTACTTTGTCCTCACTCAATTTCTCACTCGGCTTTTCACAGTGAAATGGCAAAGCAAAATTAGTTTTCCTAGTCCCTACAATATTTAGACTACGAGCAGTCTCTCTTTTTTCTGTAGTCCGTCGAGCAAAACGCGAGACACGCAAATGGCCACGCGCGTGACTGATGGCGCGAGATGGGAGAGGCACGAAAAAAGAGTCTTTTTCATCTCGGGCTGCCGCCCTCGTTTCGCGCGTCTCGCGGCTTCGCCGCTCGCGCGCGCGTGTACTCCCCTTACTAAATCTGAAGAAAAAGAGAGAGTGCTCGCAGTCTATACAATATTAGGGAGCTTAAGCAAAGGCGTCTTTGAGCGACACACGTCAACCGGAAGTGAGGTGTTTTTCATTTTAAAGCACCTTAAAGCAGCTGTGTCACGAAATTCAGCCAAATTAGGAAATTACAAAATGACCGTTAAATTAAGAGAAACATAAAAATTACCGCTTAAAACTTTAAAGGAAGGTTTGAATAACATAACAGAAACAACAGATGCCACGGATGGGCAAACTGAAGAAGATTGAAACGGATTGAAATTAGGGTTTTTGAAAACTGTTCAGCATAACAGTTTTTCAAAGTTAATCCCTGCTGCTTGCAATTTCAAAAATAATGCTCAGGAGACATATTTGTTTGTCTCGGATCTCTGATTTTGTCATTTACATGTAATTTCTTTGCTTACCTTTAGTTCCATAGCGATTGAGGGCGAGTAATTGGCAAAATTAAACAAAATGAACTGGACTGCCGTGACACAGCCCCTTTAACGCTACCAAATCTGTATTTCGATGTGTCTTGACTACTATAGAGACGATTTGTCCACACATTTGGGCAAAACCACCGTCCAAAAATGAAAAAGAGACCACTTCCGGTTGTAATTGGCAAAATTAAACAAAATGAACTGCACTGCCGTGACACAGCCCCTTTAACGCTACCAAATCTGTATTTCTATGTGTCTTGACTACTATAGAGACGATTTGTTCACACATTTGGGCAAAACCACCATCCAAAAATGAAAAAAAGACCACTTCCGGTTGACGTGAGTTGCTAAAAAACGTCAGGCTTTATAGGTGCTGGTATGCGTAGCGCCAAAGGGTATGGGTTTGGACCTTTTTTGGACTAAAATTGGGTGAAGAATTAAACCTTTCTGGTCTGAAATAGGGTGAGGTTTGAGCTCTCTTGAACCAACATACGGAATTGGGCATTTTTTTTGCCTCTTAAGGACACCACCACTTCATGTCTGAAAAAGGGAAGGAGAAAATCACGTTTTGGTCTGAAATAGGGTCGATAACCAAATTTCGAAACATGTTTCAATGGTTTTAATGGTTTAAGTGTTACGTACCATTTTGTTTTCTTCTTTTTCTCGATGGGCACCGCCATTGAAAGTCACAGCCAGAGTAGATGAGCACAGCTCAGTGTAGTAAGCCGACAGACCATGATCGCCAATGCAGCCAACAGATACTGTATATATACTGGTAGTGTATCCATCGCAGTTACAGTCGTCATCTGTTAGTCCTCCATTACCAGTCGCCCACACATAAATGTTACCTTTACCTCCGCGACCCTAAATAAGACATAATAGGTACGCAAGACGTTGATGTATCTCTGGGGGTTTGTGCTTTTATCTCAAACGGATGGTGACAAAAAGGACAGCAGAACATTACAGTAAACGTGCCATTAAACAAGATAAAAGAGTTTAAAAGGGACATCATCACGGCTGTTTAGTCTATTTTGTTAAGTTGAACTTAAGAATGAGGCCGGTGGAGTTAACCCTCGTACAGAAGTGTGAGCGAAGGAAAGAGAAAACGTCGGCGAAGCTCTCATTGTATAGAAAAACGAATCATATTTAAAAACTACTCGAAACCAAGGAAAACCTTACCGAGCACATGCAAGTCCGTAAATATTCAGCAGCGTGCAAAGAAAGTCGTGTCCGATAACCCGGGGCTATTGGATTTTGCTATTGGGCTAGTGAATTCTTTTATTAACTTGTGAACTGTGAAATCAACCTGCTCATCAAAACGTTTTTAGGGTTAGTTGAAATGTTGTTTGGGCTAGTAAATGTTAGCCTCAGCTTGCCCGAATGGCAAGCTGTAAAAATGACTTTCTTTGCGCCTGTATTGGTCAGATCAATTACATAAAACTCTTAGTTCATTTTAAGCCAGACACTAGCACTACCTTAAGTCTGACGAAAGGTTGTATGCAACTAACCGTGTAGAGTGAAAGTGAAGTCTTTTTGAAAGAAACATTTTTGTAATTTGTTATAGCGGAGCTCTCGCGCGCGAAGCGCGCAGCGGAGCCCCATGGGTAAAGAAATGTGGTAAACTACCCATCCGAGAAATTTTGGTAATCGCGTGACCGTACACCGACCGCCCGCCCGCCCGCCCGACCGTCCGTCCGCACCACAGGCATACCAATGTAAAATAATTCAATCAACAGGTATGGCAACCCAAATGCAACTCAAGGTTTTATTTGGAAAGAATTCGCATGGCCGCCCGGACTTTTAGAAAGAAAAAACAACAACAAAGTCGTGTCTTTTTTCGCCATTATTTGAGAGAAAGAGCTAGAGCGAGTGATTAAAAACAAAAGAGACGAATTTCGTAGGAAGAAAACATGAAAATTCAAAGCGGCTGTGAGACAATGAGAAATGCTAGCGGCCAGCAAGGTGAAAATAAGCGGCAGTGAAAAATAAAAGCGAACATGAACACAGGAGACAAAATATTGAGTAAGCACATACGACAATTCCTCCATAAAAATAATGTGTAACTCGGAAGTTTGACGTTTTAGTCCTACAAAACAGCGTTGTAGTTGTGAAAAACAACGGCAAAGAAAGACAAAAAGCGTGCTGCACGTGCAAATTTGGTTTTTTTGCTAACTAGAAAAAAAGTGTGCTGCACGTGCAGTTTGTTTTTTTGCTAATTAGATCTATTGATCTTGATGCCATTTTCATTGCCCTCCCTGTTTAGCATTACACCATATAATTTTTTTTGTTTACAAGTATAATTAACTGGATCTTCGCTTTTAGCCCTGGCTAAATCTATATATTACTATTTACCGTTTCAGCTCCTCGTTTGAGTGCCTTAGCTGCTAAAGGACCTGGCTTTCCAAACGTCTTTCCATCGTCCTTTGGTCCCCAACAGTTGCTAAAGATATCAACATACTGAAGCTGGAATCCAAGTGAACTGGCCTCTAGTGCGTCTGTGGCTTTACCGTCCAACATACGAACACCTACAACAATTGTGTTAAAAAAAACTTTTGACTACTTTTTGGACCTTGGATTTCGAGCACAATCGAACTCTTTTTAATACCAGGCCCTGTCACACCAGAGAGCCTCTACAATGAATCGTAGGGCAGGCGACATTTGAGGAATATTTTACATTTTGAAGAAGTTTTGAGCAAACATTTTTTCAGGGAAACCATAGTCATTAGAGGGGTTAACTATGGCATAACGTCGCAAAAACTGCGCGCGGTCGGGTTTTCCCGCCTTTGCTAGTTCGTGTTTTGTATAAACACTGCTGACATGGAAAGGCTCATGGGCTTTTCGGTGGGAAAGCGTGGGGTTTCTAATTGAGCTCTTTGACTGAACGTAAAGCGAAAGATCGTAAGATTGCTCTGTGGTGAAACATTCCCCAGCGGTGAAACATTTTACTTTATCTTTTTGAAACAATTTTTATGCACTACTTTAAAGTTTAATGCACGTTTTAGACATTTCTAAAGGACTGTGAAGAGTTGTAAAGAATGTTACCAGCTCAATCAGGAAAGGCCTACCTTTCCTATCCCCTGAGGGCTGATTTCCAGTGTTGCGCAATTTTTGCGTGTGTACGTGCCTAAAATTTACTTTCGCAAATAAGATAGAGGAAATGTATGAAAGGTCGCACGTAAGCGTAAAAGTAGAACCTCGCTCAACTTCACGTTTAATCTCAACACTTTATATCTTGCCTCTATTTTATATACGTAATTAAAATTTACGTGCGTTAGCGTGTCAGTGGAGATCAACCTTGAAGGACTTGACTATCCTACAGGATGTAGCCGTGGAACAGCTTGGAACCAAGACAGACAGTTGAATAAGTGATAAATAATTTCACCACAATTTGGTCTCCGAGAAAAAAAGATTAAGCAAGTACTTGCTAATTCGTTCAGAGGTTCAAGCAGGATGACATTTTTGGACTTAGGAGAAACCCTCTCTTCGTAACGACAAGCCAATTTTTTGCGGGCTTCAACTGAAAATGTGTAAGATGTCATTTTGTGAAATTTGACATTTATTTTCTCGACACACATAAGAAATTTATTTGGTGTTATTACAGATAACTAATTACATCTTTAGCTCTTGAAAAATGTAAAAAAGAATGCGATACGCTTTAAAAAATTCTGGTACAAGGTTTTTGTCCACTAAAAATTAAAAGTACTCAATTTCCTGACGGATTCTGTCTTAATATTAATTTTTATGCATTCGAGAAATTTTGACTCTGACAGAATCACCCCTTCCGTAGGTATGTCCGTTCGTATGTGAAATGTCACAATTTGTACAGTACAATCTGTGGACATCCATATTATAGCAAATTAACAGCTGTCAAAATAGGGTATCCACTGACTGTATCGCGGCCTCAGTTATACAACTCATTGGGCAATGTGACAAAGTAACACGTGTCCAGCGGGGTGGGGTGCTCAGTCTCGTGGGCTCACAAAACCTTCCTCAGGTTGATCTTAATTTGTATTTGCCAACTCATTGAGGTGAACTGTTTTTTAAGTTCTCTGCTGACAGGTTAATGGTTTTCAGATGATTGCAGGCTCAGATCCACTTTTAAAAGAAAGTTGAATTATTTCAGAACGAAATCTCTTAATTGATCCTATGAGAGCATCCATTTTAGCCTTGGCTAAATCTATATTACATATACTACTGTTTACCTCCAACATGAGCTGAATAAGCTACTCCTGCACCACAGATGGTGTTATTTGCTATAGCAGCAACTTCTCCTGCACAGCGTGTGCCATGGCTGCAGACCAAGAAAAAATTCACAGTAAAAATATGATTCCTGAGATTCGCTAATAATTACAACACTAGTAAAACTAGCAGGTTTAAATACATAAACTGTTGTACTTTGCCACCATTGAAAACATTTACTTACAAGCAGCATTGTCATTCGGTTGTACCAATCAAGTAGCAGCTCAAATTAACTTACTGGTTAATTATTAACTGTATACGGACAGGGACATATGGGTTTATGGTATTGACCTTTTTTTAATTGGCTATTTTGGTAATTTGAATTCCAATGTGCGGTATTGCAGTATCATTTAGCACTGCAGTATGTGTTTTTTAATATTTTGAGCTAATGTATTAGGTAAAGGAAACTCCTTCACGGTATTGTGGTAGCGTTCACCTGCCTCTCCTGTCTAACTCAAATCAATACAATGTGCAACACAAAACACAGAATTATATAAAGCTATAGAGTTTAAAAAAGGTTAATATCTTTACGTCTTTACATAATAATAAATGATAACACAATTTCTGACTGCTAATCTACCATGAAATTGTTGTTGCATCCAACAACCTGGCTTTTTTACCATTGTACCGATCAATTTGAGTTTCCTTTTCTAGCAATGGCTGAGGTTGATTTCTGGTGCAAATATGCTTGAGATAAATAAACACACTAGATAGACACAAGTTTAATACAAGCATGATCAATCATATGCAGTCGCTGATTTAAGACATGGTATTTTGGTCCTTGCCAATTATTCTTACGGTATTGCGGTATTGGGTAAGCCCCAGTGTCTCCCTCTATATAATTTACAACTGTACTGAAATATTACCAGTTATCAGGATCCACATCACGAGGACTGGGATCATCATCATTATCATTAAAATCATGACTAGCTTTTGGATCCTGCAATAAATAATAAAAACGTAAATAATGAGTCAGGTATGAAAAGAGGGGATGGCAACAAAGAGAGGCTTCCATAGAATACCGTAAAATTCTGAAAATAAGCCCCTCCATGTATAAGCTCCTCAAACTCGTAACACAAAAAACCCTCCATTAAATTGCCCCTCCGAACATAAGCCCCCAGGGCTTGAAATTGGAAAGTGCCCTCAAATACAAAATAAAACAAAGCAAAAACAGTACAGTAACATATAAATTTTTGTATTTGCCAAAGAACTATTATGTGTCTGCCAGGCGTTTGTAGTCAGAAAGTCTCACAGTTAATTGCTGTTTGCGTGGTTCCTCTTCACTCTTGGCCTTGATTTCCTGGGTCCATATAGACAAAGTACTTGCATGGCTACGTTTTAGAAAGGTCTACGTCCTCAAGGCAAGTTTCAGTAAAAACTATCTGCAAATTACTGACATAAAATTCCTTTCAACTATAAGCTAGCCCAATTGATTTTGAGATGCAAATTCCCCTCCGTATATAAGCCCCTCCGAATGTAAGCCCCTCCAAAAATAAGCCCCTCAAAAAGGGCCTTTGAAAAATATAAGCCCCGAGGCTTATTTTCGCAATTTTACGGTATCCACAGCTACTTCCTGGTACGTCCTTTGGAAAGCTAATCAAAGTGAAAAGCCAAACTCTTTACTCTTCAAAAATTACGTAGTTAATAATACATCTAGCTTCAGATGGAGTGTGTGCTAAGACCATGATAGTAAGAGGTCATGCATCCATACTGTTAAAAAAAATTAATGCATGTCAAGTCTAAGAGTGATATGTTGAAAAATGTAACAAAGGTATGGTCTGACAAAGTCCTACAATAGGATTTTATGTTTTGAATGGTGGGAGGCAAATTTGCTCCCCCCAACCACCACTACTACACAAACAACAGTAGTCTTTCACTACTCAGTGAAGCTATATCTTTGCTCATTTCTGACATATCACTTTCAAAAATGACAAGTTCATCAATACAAGATGCTCTATTCAAGGCTGTCAATTGATTTTGCTAACTAGCCTTTGTTAAAAGTTGAAAAAATCATAGAAAGGTCTGTTACAATGTATACTGAAATTAATAATAAAATTGTCAAAAAATAATAATACTTACATAATTTCCCTCTAAATCTGGATGGGTGTGATCCACACCTTAAACGGAAAATTCAAATATGTTTGAAGGTTATTTTCATTTTTTGGAAGTTCCCCTTGTCTACTTTGAAGAAGGGTAATAAATGGAGTTTAACCCATTTGCTCCTGGAGATTTTGCCGAAAAAGGCATTTCAAAGCTAGTCGAGTGGTTTTCTGGTCACTGTCGTGCTATAAAGAGCTAAAACTTACCACAAACCTGTTTACAGGTCGTACACTTCATGGCCTTCTGATCCAGATGCAAAATATTAGCTTGCGAAGTTCAGGCATGTGCAGAAAGCAAAATTTCGAGATAGTTTTTGGGTTTAAAAGTGACACAGCATTCTTGACTTTTACTTTTCACTTTCTCTCCTCCCCTCTTTTTACGCTTTTCTTACCTCATTTTTTTCTCTTGCAGGGCATTTAGTAGGCTTGATTTTGGTGGGAAGGGTTTTTAGGAAAGCTTTTAAGACCTTAGGATTAGGTGAAAGGCAAGGTAGGTGGGCAATGGAACAAGATTTTCGCGGAGATTTTCAGGTCAATGTTACATGGGTTTTGCCTTTTTCTCCAGTGTCGATGACTGAATTGTGCTCATTCTGGTATGGTTTGAAAGATCTCTTCACTCTGCACAAGTCAGCGGACAAAGTTGTCCTTGACGGTTAAAACTGATGACGTCACAAGCAGTAGAAAGGACGCAGACCTGCATGAGCGGTTACGGGCAGCTCAGGGGCGAATGGGTTAAAGACCTTAATTTGATTTCCATAAAAGCTTTGGACTTCTTTTATGATGCAGAAATCTATCACTGAGTGGCTACTTCAATGGCTAAATGATCAGACCAATCCTTGACTCCGCAAATAGTGACAAAATTGTTGAGAGACCTCCATAAACTGGGTATACATATATTTTAGAAAACAAACCATCTGGACCCCCCCCCCCCCCCCCCCCCCCCAAACTAACATTTTGTGCAAGTGTCTCCTCTTTAAAAAAGGGGTTTTAAAAAGAGTAAAAAATTTTTTTTAGCAAGGTACACAAAAAAAACATTTTTTTTTTTTATAAGTGCATAGCGTTACTGGGGAGTGTAGGCAAATCAGGACCCAAACAATTATAACAAATTTTGGGAGACACCCCCAAAACTAGGATAAAAAAATTTTTGAAAAAAAAACCCATCGCCCCCCCCCCCCCCCCCCCCAGCCAATATTAGCATTGTGTGCAAGTGTCGTCTCTTAAAACAGGTGACTTGAACAGTAGTACAACATTTTGTTAAGGCAGGTACAGAAGGAAATACTTTTTCTTTTTGAAGCAGCTATGCTGTACATGGAGTGTTGGGAAAACTTGAGGAAAGACTATGATGACATTTGTGTCTACACTAGTTATTTTGACATCTGGATTGTATCTGTGAACATTACTGGGGAGAAGAATTATTGGCATGATAAACATGTAATGGTTGCCTACCATCATCTAGTATAGAGACCACAACTCCTTTGCCAGAGATACCCTTCCTCCAAACTGGCAAAACATTAATATCAACTCCAACTGGGCCTCCAGTTTGGCCTTCATTAAGCTGTAAAACAAAAGGATGCCACACATTATCAATCAAGCAGGTTTGGTAACGATGGCTTGATTTTGACCAATTTTAATTTTTACGATTGATATGTTGAGGTCCACATAACATCAGAACAAGAAGGAAGCCAAAACAAAGGTACTACGATAAAACAAGCACAGTCAAAAAGGCTTATGTGTGCAATGTCTTATGCATTTGCATTCACTTTTGTAAGAAACATACAGCTCCAATATAGCTCCAATACTACTTACTACTACTAGGGGTGCGTTCAATGGGGAATCTGGGAATTGAATGCAACCTAGATTGATTCAACAACTGCTAACCCAAGGCACGACAAATTTATCACCTGGGGCTACAACCAGTTGCAAAAGTACTTAAGACACTGTACCGTATTTTGGCATAAATGGCCTGTCCATGATCTTGTGCTTGTGATCCCCCCTCCACCCCTTATCAAAGTTGCTAGAAATAGAAGACCATACTAAAACTTAGAGGAACAACTTTGAATGGGAGGGAGTAGGGAGGTCAGTATTATATCTCACAAATCTGTGACCAGGAGCGATTTGCAGCAAGAAAGGCTGTTTTTTCACGGGAGTGTCTCAACATTTTTGCAACTGGTTGTAGCAAAATGTCCTGGGAGGCTAGCTGCCTTTCTGCTAGCTCTCTCTTGAATTATTTACATATAGAATAATTATCTTTCCAATGAGATTGCTTACCAAATACCACATTTCTCGAAACTTTGGATCAGTTGGTATTCCATCACGTTTGACTCTGTGAAGAATTTTTTGTTGTTCTGCCCATTTTACCTGACAGGATAAATATAATCTGTCAATGTCAGTAAGTCAGTAAGTAATGTGTGAGGGGAATACATCACTCATACTCCTAAATTTATGGGCAAAATCTGATAGTGTTACCATTCAATCGAAACTGCTTCAGCAGAACTTTTACATGGTGTTACTCATTTCTCAGGACTACAAAGAGAAATTTAGACTTTTTTTTTTTCATTTGCCACTATCTGAAGTGAAAATGCAAAATAATACAGTGAAGTCCACAGTGTAACAAACCAACCTCCTTTTCCAGTAGTAGCCTATCAGTTTTATCTCTATTGTGCTCTTTGTTAAGTTCATCTACATCATCATGTCTGAGATGATAATGGCCAGGTAGATCTCCAATCTGAAAAAAATACAAAATACAAAATTTAATTAAGTAATCAGTCAATCAATGGGGCATTTCTAACCTCCCAAAACACTTACTTTCAAAATGAACTCATGATGCATTTTAAAACCTTCTATGTGGAAATTAGTATCATTTGCATGAGAATAAAAATGGGGGGGCAGTGTTCTCCCTAAAATTTAGCTCAGCAGGTAAGGGACCATTCGTGGCTGGTAAGGCAAAAAATATGTGCCAAAAACATACTTACTTTCCTGGGGGGAGGGGTTAGTGGAGTGAGGGACAAGGCCCCACTCTTGCTGTGAAATTTAGGAGCTACGTTCTCAGAAAAGTCATTGACCCATTTTTAGATCTATTTTACGCATATCAGCCGTTGTCATCTTTAGACAACAATTTAAAACGTTTAATTCCAATAATTTTACTCTGTCTTCAATGTTCTCTTTTTTAAATGTTTATATGCTTGGCCCAGAAAAAGGAAAGCTGTGTATACTTTAGTACTTTTCTATATATTCAATCATTTCCTTGTGAGAATCGGCTGATCGGATCACAACTTGGGTATTTTTTAGAACTTCAGGTGGTAAATACTACCAGTTACCTCCTGATAAGGAGAACACTATGGGGGGCCAAAGAATTTCCACTCAGCCTTGCCTGGGAATAACTCAGAAAATAACACATACATATACAATGAGTTTGAGTGTAATGATATAAAGACTCCAAAAGAAACTAACGATACCAAAGGAGAATAACTGTACATTGCTTTATCCACGCAGCTTTTCTTTGAATGGCCACACAAACAAACTAAAGAAACTAAGTAACTGGAAACTACTATACTATAAACTACTATACTACTATACAGTACAATAAGCTACTATACAGTACCTTTCATTTAAACACTGAGCCTTAAAATATGTTACCCACACAATCAACATTAGAACTGTCCAATGCAGCAAAATTAACAGAACCACAGGAACGTACTGCTTAAAATCTTTTACATGAAAATTGACACTTCAGAGATTCCACGGGCAGTTGAAATTTACCTGTTTCAAAATTTCATGTTTATGCAGAGAAAGGAACTTGAGTTGTTATTCTCATTGTATTCTTTTTGGAGTCACATGTATTTAATGTTTCATTTCAGATAATTTACAACATTCTGTTTCAGAGTGGTGATTTAGTGTTTCAATGTGCAGTAAACAAAGAGTTAAGCTTAAATTGGTGAAACAAATAACTGCAGACATAAACTATCCCATTTTTCTTCTTTTTTCTTTTCATGTCAATGAAGTCTAAAAGCTCTACAAACATACAGCTCTTGAAGAGATCTAAATTTGTTCTTGAGAGAGCCTTTTTTCATGGTAAGGGTAATTCAAAAGCAAACACATGCACAAGAATTGAGATTTTAAGTCAAGCATGGTGACCACCATGGGTTGTTTGGATAATTTATGACATTGACTGCCTTCAACCACATAAATCCACATAGTAATTGTTACCACTAATAACTCAACAAACTCTATTTTTGAAAACGCTGTAATTTTTCTTTTTACCGCTAACCTGGCCTATGATGGAAAAACCATGTCTTTTGGCAATTTTCGCGACCACGTGTTCTTCGGCTGGGTCAATTTCTACTGCCCATGTATTCGTAAAGTAGCCCTCTTTGTCGGCCAGTTCTCTCTTCCAATCTCTAGTGTTGTTCCAGCTCGGGTTAATTTGCGGTCTACCACTTGATTCCGTCCAAAACACACTCAAGATCGCCGCTATCACCAGGCAAGCTCTTGTCAAGAAACAAGGCCCATTTCCCATATTTTCGTTCCGATAATCGACGATCGCTTTCGGGGAGGCATTCGAAAAGGAATCAGCCCATGGATGACAAAGCAATTAAATCATTTATGTTGACAAACGTAGGCAGGTACACGACCGGGTGCATTTCTCTTGCTGGCTGGTGGTTTGATTCAAACTCTTTCCTTGCTCTCGTCCCAATTTCACGGTCTTCTGCCGACATTTCACGTGATAACGAATTCGACGAGGTACAAGAGAAGACATAGTTGTGGTTTTCACTCTCTAAAAGTCTTTTAAGGCATTTACAAGAGCGAGTTTGGACATAACCTGTTCTGTTTGAAACATTCTTTATAAGCTTAACCAAAATATATCAACAGAAACGACATGACCTCTAAGACCGTCAAACTGGTAAGTTTTGATGTCAGATATAAATCCTTGAACCTCATCATTTTGCCCTTTGAAGAAAATGCAACAAATTCAAAAGCATCCGCCAAAATCCGCCATTTTGGCGAGAGACTTGCGCATGACTTTTCAAAGAAAACCGCTAATACAAAGTACCTCACATTCATAAATCATCTGATGAAAAGTGTGACGTCACCAAAAAAACAGTATGGCGATGAGATTGCAGTGCATAGTTCATTCTTCAGGGCAATAGAACAGAGTATTTTTAGGGTAAAATCTTCTTTTAGAAGAAGATGTTTAGCTGGTGGTCCTCGCTAGGACCTGAAAAAAGCCAAAACAGTGAAAAGTCTGAGGGAAAAAACGCGGAAGGAGAACATAAAACCGAAGGAGATGTTCCAACAAGTGACGATGGAAGGGCTGCCGAAAATGAGAAGGAACAGCACCAAGAATCGGCCAGCGGCAAGACATCCGAGCTTGATTATGCGAGAGACATGGCCAAGAATGTAGGAAGTAAGTGGTTTTGTTGTTTCTACGTTGTGCTTTGCAGACAATAATAATTACTCTAAAATAGTTTCTCAGCTGAAGAGCGTAAGAACGTCGACAGTCGATTTTTTTGCCTCAGCCATTTAGCTGTGTTGAGTTGCGGTTTTTTCAGGTTTGCTTAAACGAAATTATCACCTACCAAAATTTATTTTGTCAAATTTGATATTAGGCGTCTAAACTAGTTGGATCTAATTTATACATGCATCAGTTGAAAGTCCGATCCTGTTGATATTGCAAACATCTTGTTTGTTTTGCATAATTATACGAGTCAATGACCACAAAAGAGTTACAATAAGCTTGTAGCCTGTAGCTTCTGCATCTGCTACAGTTGTATCTTTGTTAGTAGTCCTCTACCGCCTGTTATTTTGATACAGAAAATGGAAAACCATCTTCTATCATCTTGGTAATTGTAAAAGAACTTTAAAAAAAAGTTAAAAGTTTGAAAACTAAAGTAAAAAAAAAAAAAAAAAAAAAAAAAAAAAAAATAAAAAAAAAAAAAAAAATTACATGTATTTTCTACATTTTTTTTTTAATTTAACAATCCCATTTATTTTTTATCTACTCTGCAGTGAACTCCCTGTATGGGTCCATAGTCTTAACGCAACAAGGAAAATTTTCTTTGAAAAATCAAATGCAACAGAGATCAACCTTTATTTAAAAAAGGGCCAAGGGACTTTAAAAATGTGTTTACTAAGGTTGTAGCCTGGGGGTTTTTCATCTGTTACAGTTTTTTCTTTGTTAGTAGTTCTCTACCGCCTTTTATTTTGATAAAAAAAATGGGAAACCATCTTATATCATCTTTGTAATTGTAAAAGAACTTTAAAAAAAAGTTAAAAGTTTTAAAACTAAAAGAAAAAAAAAAAAAAAAAAAAAATCGAATAAAATACAATAAAAAAAGAACATTACATGTATTGTCTACATGTATTTGTTAATTGAACAATCCCATTTATTTTGTATCTACTCTGCAGTGAACTCACTGTATGGGTCCATAGGCTTAACGCTACAAGGAAAATTTTCTTTGAAAAATCAGATGCAACAGTGATCAACCTTGATTTAACAAAGGGCCAAGGGACTTGCAAAATGTGTTCACTGTAACATGGTTTCGTTATGTGCAGGATTTTTTTCATATATTTTGATATAACTGGACTAAAGAAAAGAGTTCATTATACCGAGGACTTTGTTATATATAGGTTTGTTATATCAAGGGTCCACTGTAATAATGTTCGTTTTAACAGCTTATATCCATCCCGGGGGATGGGGGGTGGGGGTACTCCCTTTTATAAGCTATATAGGTATGTACCACCCCATCAGGTAGGGTTTTTGCACCATTTTGGTCTGGAATAGGGTATGGTTTTCAGGGGAACTACAGGAGTGTATGAAAGTATTTATCGTTTCAATTCCAAATGAGTAAGGAAGAAAGAGAAATATGCGAATTCAAAATGGATTTGACGAGTTTGTTTGTTTGTGCTCTAATCTAAGTAGTGTTAACATAATTTCAGGCCAGGTCTGAAAACGGGTATGGATTTTAGAGGTCTGGTCTGAAAATTGGGTACAGAAAATGTGGCTGTATCAATTTAATTTGCAAAGTGCTAGAAAAAAAGACAAGAAGTCTTACTGCTTGTAGACATCTGAAAGGGACATCATTTTTCAATGGAAAGTGTACAAAAGGGTACCTTTTCTGCCAAAATGGTAGGAGCTGGACCTTGTGGTGGAGGCTTCCTGTATAAAACGTTGATGAGTAGCCTCCCTCCTTCCAAGGATAGAATTGGGTGCTAGCCCTTCGTCAGCCCTTCCTGCTAGCCCTTCAATATCAATAAATATCAAGTATATTTTGTCCGGTATTTGCTTGGGATAGATTTGGTTACTGGCACCTTTGCAGGGTGTTCATTAGGCATCAGAGAGCAGAGAATTCTCCATTTACTATGCAGAATTCTCTAACTAACATTCGGTGGCTTATGACTATTTTTTATTCAGACATGGAGCCTCTTTCAAAATACTCTCCTGTAATGTTACACCTTTCTCCTGCTACTAGGATTCTTAATAAAAACACTGCCTTTGAAGATGGCCTCTTTTCAAACAAAATTTGTGAATACTGTACAAGACAAACCATCTGCATTTGTTGAGCGTTGGTCATGACAGAAAATTTTTATAAAAAAGCTCTTCCACCAGTGCAGATCAGCCCCATCTCTCATAAACAATCTTCAGCATCCGCAGCCTCTTGAGTGTTAACTATTATTAATATTTTTAATGATTAGCAAACAAACTTGTTTGAGTGTACCAGTAACTCTGTGCTTGATGCTTTGCTTTTCAGGCTTCCTTTTCAACTTTGCCAGTGTCGCAACAAACACTGCTTATAAAATGAAAGACACAGTGAAGGAAACTGTTGAAAAGCAGGTTTGTGTTTAAACATGATTTCGTCTTAAAAGATTCAAGTGTTATCACATTGAATATTCATTGTGTATGACATCGTCACAGTTGCAAGACAGTAACAAGATTTGAAAGTGCTTCAAGCAACATGTGTTTTCTATTAGACAGAGTGAGAAAAATTAAATCTAACAGATGCTTTACAATAAATTAAAAAACTGTTGACTTGTAACTTTTCAACCCTACAGTCTATTATTGAGGATTTTAACAAGAAACAAGAAGAATTTGTCAAAGAGAAGCATAAAAGGAAAGGTAAGGATCAGAGCTCATATGAATAACCTGTCATTGGAGTATTGCTTAGTTTATACAGGGTTGTCATTAAGAGCCGGGGGCCAGGGATTTTCCCCGGCTACTAAGAGAGTGGTCCCCGGCTACTTTTATTGGAAAATAGAAGAAAAATGGGACCAAAAGAAATCCCTAGCCGTTTGATTCCCCGCCTACTTGTTTTATTTACCCGGCAACTTGAAATCTTAGTGACAACCCTGTTTATAGGTTTTGTTTGTTCAATTTTTTATGGATGGTGTGAACTTTACTTCATTGTTTCAAAAGAACACATTGTGGCCGAGCCAAAGAGCGTTAGGCTTGTAATCCTAACCCTAACCCTAAACTGAACCCCCCCTCCCCACCACCCCCCACTGGATCTAGCCTATGATTTAATTATTTTTCTTCAACTCAAAACAGAACATAAATACATCTTTCCCCAACTGCTTCAGTGTGTATATGGCAGGCTCTCTTTTCTGTGGATCAAATATATAACTTTTACACCAGAATTACTTTTGACCATAAAAACATTTTTCTTGTCTGCAGAGGTGGCCGTACCACCATGGGTAGGATATAATGAAGAAGAAACCATGAAGAATCAAATACTGGCACTTTCAACAGATGAAAGAAACTTCTTGCGTGATCCTCCTGCTGGTGTTCCGTTCCATTTTGATAGTGATTCCATGTACCCTGTTGCCTTAGCAACCCTTCAGGAAGATAAGAACCTAACTAAAATGAGATTCCAACTTGTTCCTAAGAAGTAAGCTATATACAAAATTAATCTGATAAAAGTTTTTGTATTACGGTTGAACCTCTCTACAACGGCGTTCACCTTGGGACAGAGAAAATGGCCGTTGTAGAGAGATTGAAACAAGAGTAAATGTATGGACTGTCTTCCAAAAAAAGGCCATTGTAGAGAGGTGGCCGTTATTGGAGGTTTGACTGTGTTATAATCTATGGTTTTATAAGATAAAATTATATATATGCATTTTTTATTTTTAAAATGTCTTGATACTTTGAGCAAAAGTATTTTATGCTCCCAGCTCATTTTCAAAGACTCCTTTTTGCAACCTAAAAATATTAGTTATTTTAAAATGGTTACCAGACATTAAAATTAATATTGGTCGCTAAAAAAAGACTTTTGGTGCAATATTACATGAGAGGTTTAAAGAACCAAAATGGCTGCCAGACAATCACGTCCCAATGTTTAGAGCTGCATGCCACATCTCAAGACTTAAAACATGATTGATTTCTTGTTTTGATAAGATCTGTTCATTACCCAAGGACAAGGCTGTGCTCTAAGAAAAATTGAACAAGCCCATCGTGCTCTCAGCCTGTGAAATTCAGGGTACCCAACATATGATTCATATGAAAAAACTCAGATTAAGTGCCATGGGCCAACACGCACTGCTATAGTACAGCCTCGAAGATCATTATTAGATTTTAATCCCATCCAATTCACTATTATAATAACTCAATTTAATTTGCAGAATTAAAGAGGACAGATTTTGGAGGAATTACTTTTACAGAGTGTCACTTATAAAGCAATCAACACAGCTCACTTCCTTGGCTGCTACAGGTAAAGTTTAATCTTCTTATGTTTGGTTTATTAATAATGAGATGTACAAGTATTTAAATCAATTGATTTTGTCATGTATTATTATCAAGTTTGTCAATGGTTTAATTGAAAAGATTCTGTAGAATTTTGTTTGGTCTCTTTTCTTGACTCTTGCTGTACCAAGATTCATCAAATTTTGTCTAAAAAAGTAAGTTAGCTACCATTATTAAAAAGTCTTTGGATTGATTTTATTTTCAAGCACACTTTTTAGTTGTTTTTTAAATGTACAGTAAGTGATAGTAACTGCCATCACTTGTCAATATTTTCATTTAGTATATACTAAAACAGTGGATAGTGTTTTTCTCGCGCTCTGATTGGCTACTCAATCAGTGAATATCCTGCACTATTCACTGATTCACCTCCAGTTCCTCTGAGCGAGCGACGCCAAACTCGCGTAGGTTGCGAGCAAAATGCTTTCCCGGTTTGCTGCCGTAACAAACTAAGAAATTTCACAACTAATCAAGCAAGCTATTTCTGAAATACATGAAGAAGGTGACGAAGTTCGGTTTGGAAGTTTTAACAGGTAAAGCTTTGTCTTTTTGACTTGAATAGTTATCGATAAAACCAGTGAAAAAGTTTTTTGTTTACAAATGCAAATTAAGCTTAAGTTTTGCGTTACTTTATTTAGTTGACTTGCTCATAAGCTTAAAACTAAATTTAATAATCTTTTTTACAGAATTATTTTAAATACAAACAGAATTCACAACTCCTTTTCAAGAAACTTCCCCTCAAGGGTTAAACAAACGCCTTCAAAAGTTTTATTTGTCGCTAAGAAAAAGCGACGACCACGGCCGTTCAGTCATGGCGCGCCAAAATTGTAATCGTTGGCAACAGTAAATGAGTTAAAAATCATCATTTTGTGCTCAATTATCTCACTGTTTTAGTATATACTAAAACAATTATTCACCTCAGTGTCGGTGGCTAGTAGTGGATATTTACCTCGTTGCTTCGCGGCCCCGGTAAATATCCAATACTAGCCACTTCCACTTCGGTGAATAATTGTTATTTATTTCTCACACTACAGTACAGGCCACAGTTTTTTTTTTTGCATTATACTATACATGCAATGTTTTAGATGTGTAAATCTGCCATATTCAATGCAATACAATACAGTACAATACTTTTATTAATTCTCCGCGAGGGGCTTTTCAGAATTAATTTACAAATATGTGTATAAATAATAAAACTAAGACTAATGATATACATGTTCTTGATATATAAATAACAACTTAAAAATTTCTACTTCTAATAATAACTAACAATGTAATAATACACTATGGTATGTACACCGGTATCCTATTTCTTCATTAATTCTGCCTTTGCATGCTTTTTAAATGATCTTAATGATCGTGCAGTTCTAGTGTTGTTACTGGGACTATTCCACGCTTTTGCTGCCCTATAAAAGAAGCCACTCTGGGCAGCCGCTGTCCGGCGTCCTGGCAGGTTTAGATCTTCACTGTTGCGGAGATTGTAAGCGTGCACATTGGATCGCTTCCCTATTTTACAGCTAATATATGCTGGCACTAAATTGTTAACACATTTGTACATCAATGTCACGTCCCGCAACCAAAGTTGCTCCTCTATAGTCAGCCAGCCAAGAGCTTTCAGGGCTGGGGGAATATGATCGTATTTCCCTGTGTCAGTTAGTATACGGGCAGCAAAGTTCTGCATGAGTTGTAGTTTATGGATGTTCTGTTTATAAGTACCAGCCCATACAGCAGAACAGTAAAATAATTTACTAAACACAACAGTTGATCATTACAACAGAGTTGATCATACAATTTATAGGAGAAAATGTATGCAGAAAAATACATGACAAAATGCACTCAACGAAAAAGTGAGTAAAATTTTAAACAAAGAGCTTACAGATTGCACATATGGCACTTTGTCAAATCATAAACTGTGTGGTTTTATAACAGGTGGAAATGGCCCTTGTGGTGGTGACAGACAATCATCAGCAGCAGAAGCTAAGACAGCTGACACTGGTTGGTGTAACTTACATGTACATTTTACTTTTAAGCTTTCCATAATGTCCCCCGGTAAGTTGAGAGGTAGACTCTAAACTTGTGCAGGATTTTTTTGTATGATTATGGCCAATACTAACTTTACAGAAATATTATCGTACTCTACAGACTGTCTTCTACAGAGAAAATTCAGTCAGATTGATTTTACTTTCCCAGAGGTTTACATTGCCATTAATTTTTTTAAGACAATTCCAGCAGCTGTCCTATAGAGTGTATCTCATTACTTTTTTTTTTCAGAATCAAGCCAAAGTGCACCAGTTGGTATACCTGGAAAGACATCAGATGCACAGGTATGTATTTTGGCCTACCAAATTGTTTGCTCAATTATGCATCTCACTATAGTGTTGGAAAAAGATGCTTCAACAGTTATGGCTGTAAAATTAATAGTTATATAGGTGAAAATCCTGATCACTTCTAACAACTTGTTCAGGGCTGTCAATAAGGGCCGGTAGCCAGCCAAAACCCGCTGGCTAGTTAGCCATCCTTAGCCAGCTGCTTTAATCTCCTTCTACCATAACTGCTAACAAAAAATAAGCACCACTGAATAAAATTGTAAAGCATCTGTGTTCCAGTTTTGAATGACATTGAACCCATATTTAAACAGGTTTAGATCTGTGAAATGTTCGAACCATGCATGGAATGCCTGTGACATTTTGATGGTATTGTTCCCAGTGTTGCGAGTATTCTGACGAAACAACATAGCATCCGTGGTGGTAAATACCTCTTGAAAACCCCCTGGAAATGCCATTTCTGAGACTCTAAATTTCAAAATGTCCCTAGATGCCTCGGCCCTCAAAAAATTGTGCCTTTGGTGCAAGTTCCAAAGCCGCCTACCAATCATTATCGGCCTGCTACTTAAAAACTTTTTGACAGCCCTGCTTGTTAAAAGATTGCTGACGGCTAAAGTGCTTATGAACAACAATACTTTTCCCAATGACAGATATGACACCAATAGCCCACTTTACAGTTACAGGTGTAGGTGAGGCTGGAGCTGACCTTGTTTTGATACAATCCTCTCTGCTTTTCTACATGTAGGTAAGAAGAGGAAGGAGGTTTGTGTCAAACTAGGTCAACCACAGCCCCGATCACCTTTACTCAAAGGCCAGGATACTAAGCCAACAGCTCTAGATATGTAAAATGTTGTGATAAAATACATTGCGGGTGCAAAAGACCGTACAGCTGACAAGTGACAAAATAAGTGTGCATGGGACTGATTCCATCTTGTCCGTCATCAAAAAGACAAGAAGCGCATAAAGCAGGCAGTGTTTGCTACTATGATTTATTTGTTACTTAATACATGTAAATCGCCTTGTAAAGGGCTTAGAATAATGCAGGGCTTAAGTAAGGAATATTAAAGGCAGTGTATTCACGAATTTGTTGATGTAGCATTTCATTGCATGAATGGTAGTATATTGTAATATCTTCTTCAAATATTAATAATCATTTAGTGGTTATAATAATATCATGGTTTGCCAATGAATCAGCCTATGGTTACAGCCCTAGTAAAACTCAGACACTCAAAAGGCAGTCAGAGATGTTCAGAAGCTTTGAGACTTGTACCCTTTTATCAAATTATATTGTTTTGCTTCTAAAACAGGAAACACATGATGAGGATTTAAATGAACCTATGGTTGATGAAAGCTCAATGCAAAGTGAATTCATTAGTGACTCATTTGCTACAGAACAAGGTAAATAAATTAACTAAATATTTAAATCCCCTCATTAACTGTTTTACAGCTTTACAAAATGAAAACTATTTTGACTCATATGTGCATTCAGGAGTGTGAGGTGCAGGGTGTGACATCTTGTGTTTCTTGTAGAACTAAGTCGCGATGACCTTAGACAAATTGGGGTAGACAAAAAGGATGGAGATAAGGCTAGCCAATCAAAAGCAACAAATGAGACAATACCAGCAGGTGAGACAACAGTATTATAAAAATAACAAGATAGAATTTTTCCAAGTACAGCCAGATGGACACGTGCTAAATTGAAATCAGCCATGGAGCCATTTAGTTGGCAGCAGTTAATAAGTTCAGCACTAAAGAGACTGGAGTGAGGTCTACAGTTACAGTGATGTGGTTCTGGTCAAATATGGATCCCCACCTTATGACCACCCTGTTTATACAACCACCTTGTTATTATGACCATGTTAAAATCACTGAGTCATTTTATTATTTTGAAGACCCCATTCATACGACCACCTTGTTATTACGACCAGGATTTAATGGTCCAATGGTGGTGGCATTAACAGGGTTCCACTGTAAATGAAATTGGGGAAAAATCGTTTTCAGGATAATTATTAATTTAATGAAGAGTATTTTCTTAGTAACTAACAATAGGGTGGGTGTTTTGTGCTGGGCCTGCTTGAATGACTTTGAAGTTCTTTGACCTCAGCTAGTCTCTATGGTGATAAGGTTTTCTAGCTAGAGTGCCTTTAATTTAATTCCCCTATAGGCACAATGCAGTATTCTTTTTCAGTCAGATTGTGATCTCTATTGTGTTAAGTTTATGTTAGGTGAAATTTAATCTTGCTCTATTTTTGTGTTTTTCTTTGTAAGAAACTCAAGATGACATTCCTGAATGGGAAAAAGAGCTTCAAGCAGAATTACAGGTAAAGTTACATGTATTATAGTGTAGTGTAAGGTTGTTTTAATCCTGGTCATAATTTGTTTAAGCAAATTTTGATCCAGAACTGACATATTGGATCTGTCCAGCTAGGAGAGAGTTTCGAACGAATGAATAACTATACGAAAATCCCATTTCCATTTCCATCACCTCAATCAAGATATTGGGCATCTCAAACAATCGTCAGGTCACTATTAATTAAGTTTTAATCCCGGGTGATACAAGCTTATAAATTTTACCAATAAAATTTTTACCGTCCATGTTGGTATCACAAATAACATATACACACCAATATTTGTCAATTCAGTTTTGTCATCACTATTCTTAATCACCATTGCTAAATGAAGGTATGCTTTTATTGTAGCTTTTTTCACATTTTTATTGGACTAAATCTCTCTAAATAAATAGATGACGAGAGGTAAACAAAAAAAAAAGACCAAAAGGTAAGGTGCAAATGGAAACCGGAAATCCCATGCAGGGCACCTCCCGAACAAATCAGTAAAAATCATGCTAATGAAACTATTGTTGCCAATGGCAACCATAAATACTTGCAAGACCCCATGAACACAGTTTATCAGGGTCAAAAACATCTGCTAACCCATCATTGAACAATTCAGTTATTCTGAAATGTGGGCACTACATGCAGTTGGAAGGAGAGGGGGGGTGGGGGGCGTGCTTATTTGAAGTTGGGGGTTAATTTTTCACTACGAGAAGCTCATGTCTTCACAAAGCTTGTAATTTACCAGGGTGATGTTTATTCTATATGGTCAACCATTATTACTATTCCAATATTTATATCATTAATTTTAATACTTATTTTGTTACTTTTCGATTCAGGATTTCGAAGTTGTGGATAATGAAGAAAATGCTGAGTGGGAAAAGGAGATAGAAGACATGTTAGAGGAGGAGGATAACAAATAATTTAATAAATAGTTAACAAAATAATAATAATAATAATTAACAAATAATTTTCACTGCCAGCATTGTTTATGGCTTAACAGATAATCCACTCAGACTTTGCTCCTTTTCTCACATTTTACCCAAAGTCAAGGCCTTGGCCAGGCAGGTGTCTGGGTTTCCTGGGACCAAAAAAATACCTTTTTTTCACATAATGGCCTTAGAATTGCTGGCTTATGAACTCAGGTGGATGCCTTCTTCTTATTTCCAATTCCTGGTTACAGGTAGTTAGAATGATATAATCAGTCAAACCATCAAAAATGGACTTTATTATTAGTTAAATATAATTTTTAGGAATAATCTTCTTAGCTAATAGTATTTCACCCTTATTTAATCCTAAAAATTACATTTAACTTTGTGAGTTTTTTAACATATTTTGATCTGCTCCTAATAACCTGTCAAAAATCTGCCTACATGCACCTCTTTGGTGTTCTCTTAGTGTAAATTAAAAAAATATATTTATTACATGTCCAGTGACACAATATACAGTCATGTAGATTGGACAGTAATATTGTTTTGTAAAAATGGTATTTAGTTAGTTTACATTGCATGGCTTAAAACTAACATTTTGGTTTACTAGTCAAGTGGCTAGTGACTGGTTGGATTAAACAACAGCCAATGAAAACAATAAGTATTTTTTGTAGAAGCCAAAGAGAAGTTAGTCTTAAGCCCAGCACTGAAATCACTGAGAAGCATATTATGTATAGACATCTGAGCATAATAAATCAGAATTTCTGATAGCTTTCTGAATCTGTAGATCACTCTTCACGATAAACTTTTTGTGACTTCAGGTGTTATAAAAAAATCATGCTTGTGGGATAGTTACTTCACATAAGCAAAATGCACATCTCACAGTCCTGGACACTGACTCAAAAAGTCCTCTAGCTATAGAAAATGATATACCTTGATGAACCATAGCCCGTAATGTGTATGTTGGGGTTTATTATTTTACAGGGAAGTGCTTCCAAAACTGTGTGTTTGATCACAAATCAACCGGGCTTACAGGGTTAACAGATACTGGCGTGACAAGGAAATGAACTTGTCCAGGATGAATGGACAGGATATTTTCCAAGGCTGTCTTAAAAATGGTGCCACAATCCACCCATTCCACCGACTTGTGAACCATTCAAACTACAAGTTGCTTTGAGACATTATAATTATTTTATACCGTTTAACTTTTGGGAAATATTACCTTAAAAAACCAACCATTCTTAATTAAGCTGGTGTGTAGGTGTGTTGCATAACTGAACAGCATTAAGAACACGTAATGTTCTTTAATAAGCTTAAGAACAAACATAATCTTTGTAAAAAAGATTGTCTTTGAATTATATTTTTGGGGATGGAAGGAGTGTCAGGTGTGTCACCAGTAGAGCAAAGATTTTCCCCTCAATATCTACATACATGCAGAAATTCTCCAGACCTTTCATTAGTTGAGAGAATTTGGTAGAAGATCAAAGCATTTCCCCTTAATTTTACTGATCATTATAAAAATTTTCATAATAGCTTGCGTAGCAAGCGTTTCCGTTTGGTTTCGGAGCAAAGAAATACCGAGGAAGGCCAAGGAAGGGTACTTTCAGTTTTGACCGCGCAAGAAATGTACAAGAGCTCTTTTACTTGCGCCACTTTTCTCGCAGTCTTTGACTCTCCTTCCTCGTTCTTTTGTCCTAAACCGCACAGAAACGCTTGCTATGCAGGCTACTTTCATAACCTTGTCTCTTGATGATGTATGCCAGGAAAGTGTTAGGAGAAAATTGATTTTGGTTACTCCTGGGACTTAGAGGGTTAACCAAAAAAGCAATAAAGTTTCTTAGACTGTTTGTTTGTCCATCTGCGTTACTTAGTGTCATTGTGAGAGTTAACATTTTTACGTATTGGACTTCTTACCAAGTCCCCTTACATAATATTATCCAAGTAGACTGTTCAGTTCACAAGGGCACCACTATTATTTCAAAGAGGGAGTGGAATTGGGGTAATAATTAGCCTTCTCCTGAAAAGGGGAGAGGCTTTTTAGAGGATTTACGGTGTGTGAAAGCGTCAGGAGAAACTTGTTTACTCTCTTCAGAAACATTTAATTGACTGCGCTTAAAATAGGATGACCACCAGAAACTCAATGATGCCGGTATATTAATGAACAGTAACAAATCCAGACCTTTGGGGGGAAGGAAAGGGCCCACCCAAAGGGAGGAGAGCAGGGGGGGACCCATTTCTGCACAGGACTCTGTGGTTACACATTCCAGTCGTAACATCAACAATTAGGCAAATTCAAAAACTAAAAGTCATTTTACGTTAATTGAACATTTTCTTTATTCTCGATACCTTTATGCTTGTGTATTAGCATTGCTTTCCGGAGAAGTTTGATTTCCATCCCCGTTAAGTTAGGGATTAATACCTGACATGACCTTGCATTATTATTTGTCTGCTGAATTGCCTCTCATTTCAATTCTCAGCAAAATCATTCAGCTCCATCAAAGTGCTTGCAGCTAGTACATGAAGCTTCAACATCTGTACATACATAGTTACTGTATACAATCAAGTGAGAGGGTGTCTGGAAGGGGCCCCAAACGACTTAAAGGTTGCAACACACTTGGCAACAATTTGCAGCAGCATGTTGTGACAATAAGTTGCATGACAAACTGCCTCATGTACTGGAGAATTTTTGTGCAAATCTGTCTCTGCAATAGAATTTTGTCACTGCAACAAGTCACCCAAAATTAAATCAGACTGACAGAATTTGTGTGACTTGCTGTGCTAAAAATTGTGTTGTGGAGACAAGATTTTAACAAAAATTCCCCAGTACACACAAAGCGATTTGTCACTGCAAGGTGTCACCCAACTTGTTGCCTCACCTGTACACAAGACTGATATGTTGCCATGATGAATTGTAGTGACATATCGCCTAGTGTGTTCCCACCTTTACAGTTTACTGTAGACTACTATAGGCCTCCCTTGTGAATTCCCTCATAAACCAGAAATTTGCCATGAGCCTGGGAATCACCTAGCATCTCATTTCATGCACTTGCCATCAACTTCACACAAGATCATCACTTACCGGTGTGCGGCACGAAATTTTTGCGGGAGTTTATTTTTGCAGATTGGTGATTTTTTGTGTTGTGTGGGAACTAATTTTTTCGATTAGGACAGATTGGTTTATCTTGCTGGGAATTAATTTTTGCGATTTTCAGAAAGTACCCAGTACCAGCAGCATCGATAATATTTCTGTTTTTATTCAGTACGCGCAATAGAAATACATATTTTCAAACAATAAACCAGTAATTTGTTGTTTCTGAATGAAAGAGACAAGTTGTGATTGAACAGACACGATTTCTTAGTACAGTGTATTTATGTGTAGCGAATTTAAGTTAGAGAATATTTACTCTGCAGTCTATTTTTGCAGAAAAAATGTTTGCAGTAATTTTTGTTTGCTGGAACTTATTTTTGCAGAACGCTGGAAAAACTGCAAAAATTGGAACCTGCAAAAATTTTGTGCCACACAGTATCTTGAAATCATAATGCTAAGCACCCTGGATATTTTTACAGGACCAGAAATGCGTCTGCGCTTCGCAGGCTACAGAGTACTGGACTCTGTTACATTTTTGTTGGAACACAGGCTTGGTTATTCATGTCTAAATGGTTTTTTAAAGGGGGCTCCTTTAACTTTTTAAGCCTCAATATCCACATACAAATTCTCCAAACTGATCTCCATACACTTCCTTAAAGAATGAGTTGAAAGAATTTGATAAAAGATCAAAGTATTTAATTTTATTAATAATCTTCTCATAACTTAATCCTATGGCATAGAATGGATATTGTTAGGAGAAACTTGATGGGCTATTGAGACTTAATAAAGGTTAAATCTCTGTAGTAATTGAAGGTGCATGACAATCATATGATCAGCTGATACGGCAAATGAATGTTATTTTAAGTCATGGGTAACAATAAGTTAACAGTTGACAAATAATACCTCATTGGGAAACTTCACATGCACAGAGTGGGCGTAAAATAAAGCCGGCTTGCACCTTTCTGTTTATCCACAATTATAACTGCTGTTATCAAAATGCTAATTATAGCAGCCATGTGCATTGTGCAACATCCATCTGCACCAGAAGCGGAAGCAAAGTCACTTGCAGTCTTAAAGTTGAAAATTTTCATAATTTTTGTTTTCATTTCTGACCCAATGTATCACTGGAACACTCTTGTGCCATGAACAGGTAATGAATTACTAGCCACACCCGTTAAATTTTCCCAAAGCTCATGTAAAGTGCAGCAATTTAAGGGGCCACCCAGGATGCAATTTTACAAATGGTAACTCTCTCCTGAAAGTTTCAGTGACATTTCCTAGCGTATTAAGCTCACATCAGGTGCTTCATAGTACGAAATAGACTTTATACAGTGGAACCCAGACACTCCACAATGTGGACATTTCATTGATTGTGAATACTCCCAGAAAAACTTCATGCCCTCCGTTAGATCGACGACAGGTTTACCACAAGAGTGACAAGCTACCCTTGGCTGACAACAGGGAGAGGCAGCAAAGATGTCGTAACAGTACATGGTCCCGAGCTGGTGAGAAGAACCATCCCAATCTTTGTTGCAAAGTTTACATTTAACGCGATTGGGAATGCCTTCTAAGCATTGCATGCAAACTGCAGTCAGGTATTGCGCTTTGCCGTTTTGCGAGACGTCCACGCAGGTCGAATTTAGTTGTCTCGGTGTTAGGAAGAACGTTCCATCGATAAGCGGATATTTGTCGAAAACCGGTAGTTCTCGGCTACAAAGAACACAACTCGCCGTTCGCGTCTCGCGCAAGGAGAGGTTGGAGAGCACAAAATGTCGTGCGTCGTCATTCATTTCGTCTTCCATTTTAATATGATAAGGGTTCAACTTGTGCTTTGGTAAAACGCCTTGAAACGAGCTAAAGTCTGCTCTTTTGAGGAAAATGCTCAACACGTTCGTGACGTGCGTGGAAACGTTCACGTTTGAGTGATTGCCTGCGAAAGTCTCTCCAAAGAAGTGGCAGTTGTTTTCACTCGAATTTGCTCGAGTTTTCTTTGTAGGTGTTTTTGGGAGCGGCGAAATCGGCGATCGCTCGGGCGGTGATTCCGATAGCTGGCTACAATTTGATGACTGAGAACTTCTGCGAGGCCTACCCATCGAAGAAACGACGTTGACGGTTGGTTTTTCGCTGGCTTTCTTTTTCTTTCGCTTTCCCTTCACTTGGTTTTGCAAGTGGCCCACTACTTCGTCGAGGTTAGGTGGTTGATACTCAAGATCTTTTCTCAAATGACCTTTTCCGCATTGACAAGCACAGCACTTGTAGGCCAAGTCATAGCCTTTCTTTGTCCATATGTTCTGTCGCCTCTGCTTTTCCGACCAGCTGCGTGCTCGTCCAGTGCCTCTGAGATAGGCGAGGATTTCTTCTTCGAAATCGTCAAAACATTCACAGTGCATGTAGCCACTTTGCTGGCAGGCGTCGTTGTTGCAAATAACCCGAACAGAGGTCGGCAAATCGACCGAACTTTTTAAAGGGCAGCCTTTCGGCAGACAGCACGCGATGAAGTGTTCTTTCTCCCCGTCCTCGTGGTCAGAGGATGTCTCTTCACTCATGCTTACCCGGACTTTCTGTTTGTGCGCTTTCGAATGAGGCATCTTGAAAGCTTAGTTCCCACCCACAACAATGAGATCAGTTCCTTTTATTACCGCGTTCCACGTCCTCTGCTCACATGCAAAGTAGTGTTTCCTAATGTACAGCGTAGATTAGTCCTATTTACATTGAATGTCGTGACAAGGGGTGGGGCTTGTGTGACCACCTGACACGTATCCGGTTGGCGGTCTTTGTCGATTTCAATGGAGAACGAAGTCTCCCGGATGAATAGTCGCGCAACGGAACCAGAGGAAGTGACACGTAACATAATTTTATGCGAACTTTTGTCTCGATATTTCAGTTAATTTTTTGTTTTCTTGGGTCTCATAGATCTTTGTCTGTTTTCCATTATGCAGTAACTCTTGAATTATCTTCTGTGTGTTTTTTTGTACCAGACCAAAAAATTGAGGCAACTTCTTCAGGGTCATGCTCGGATCCCAAATCTCTTTGCCGATTACTCTAACAGAGGTGAAAACCCTGAATTAAGCTTTCCTGTGGTACTGCTGTTTGCCCTACTTGACTCATATGAAACTGAACTTACACGTTACTGCTGGGTAGTTAACGACACGCAATTTAGCCTTTGGAAATTTCCCGATTGCACTTTATTGTATTGGCTGTATTTTTAAATAATGTTTGAAAGTCCTTTTAATATCTTGAATAAGACAACTTTTAAACAAAAGGCCTTGATAAGCTGTTTTGTTCAGTATGATAAATCAATCTTTCGCGCGCGAACCAAACTGAACTGAACACCTGTTGCATGTAATTATAAACAAAACGTTTTTATTTTACAAAAACAGGTGTTTCTAAAGATCTTCCCGTTTCAACAAAAAAAATTTCCTTCAAAGCCGGAGTCTTTTGCATATACGTTTGTAGTATTTTCATTCCGCTTCGTCTGGTTTACTGTCAGCAGCTTATTCAAATAAAACCCACCGCCAGAATTCCGGCTACTCTCTCAACATGCTTTTTCTTTGTTCCCTTACCGCTCCACCAGAAAGCAAACAGTTGGATTTCCATAGTTCCCTTCGGTTTTTTAAAAGTCTTAACACTTAAAGTGGGTTCCTGGCCCCAAGAACGAATTGAAAGATTGCTGTTTTTGAGGTAACATTAAGCGTAGTCATTGTCTTATGAAATCTTCTCGTTTTCCTTCTACCACGGGTCCGCCATAAAAAAGTCCATTCCGTTTTGTGTTTTGGGTCGAGATTAAATATTTTATCACACAGGGCACGCCAATTATTAATTATTTAAAACCTACGCCAATGATAGTTGTGTCGTGCTTCGTATATTCATTTCCAACTGAAAAAACCTTGAAATTATGGTTGTTTGGCCAGCCCGGCAACCGCCGGTTAATTATAAAAAATAACTTCCTACTTCTTTTCGGATTGTTAAATGAATAAAACTACTAAAACTGTTATCCGCGATCAGCCAAAAAAATTGTGGGAAAAGTGAAATGCTTATTGAAAATGAGAGCAATGGCAATATAAATTCAATGCAAGTACAAGTATATTCAAAGGCTAATTCAATGTTTAATTGCAAAGTCTTGTTATGCTTGTGGCCATCACTACATAGCGTATAGTTTTCGAGTTTGAGTCAGTAGTCAAATTTATGTGGTATACAAACGTGACTTTCATTTTTTTCCTTTTCCGACAAATTTAAAAGCTAAAAACCTTTAATTAAACGATTAAATGCATCAGAAAGGCCCTCGCCCAATTTTGTAATAATCGCGGCGAAGAAGAGGCCAAAGAAGATATTTTAAATAATGCCGAGTTGCGATAAATAGCCTATCTCAAAACAGAAGTTTCATTTCCTAAAACCGTGTAGGCTCGATTTCTACCGCTCTCTTGGTCCTCGCCGAGAAGAGACGGCTGTATTCGCCATAAAAATCAGCAGAAACAAGTACTGTTTCCTAAACGAGCGCCAGAGCTAGCGCCGAAGGCACAAGCTTGTAGCGGGGGTTTGAGGTATGCATCCCCGGGAAATTTTTTGAACTTTTAACTCCTTAAAGTCTCCTTTCCTCCAAACTTTTTTCCAGATTCAACTTGAAAAGTTTTTATTTATTTAAAATATATACATGTATAATGAAATATATGATCGATTTCTGTAAAACAGTGGAAACTGGTGTGGATCCAAGCCTGTGTCGTAGTTAAGTGCATTTTTATATTTTCAGTATATTGCTGACTAGGCTTTTAAATCTTGAAATGTCTCCTTTTTTGGCGCAGAGTTAGTCAAGTCAGATTTATTTAAGAGACCAGCAAATTGACAAAAGTCTAATGCTAGCTTACAAAAAAAACTTAAACAGAATGATGTTATCGACCAGCCAGCGATACGCCCCGCCATCCACGTTGTACTGCTATCATTACATTTTTGTATTGTGCAGTGGACAAGTAAATATCAAGAAATCACTATCCATGGAAAGAGGTCTGTCTGGTGGCAAGAATTCGGCGCTCTCTACCTGGTTAATTTTTAGAAAAATCAGAGGTCGGTGCATCGGTGAGAACACAAACACCTGGCTTTATTAACTGATCCAATTGATGAAGCACAAATTGGCCACCCGAACCATAATTAAAAAGTTTAGCTTAAGTGGGAGTTTCTAGCCCCATCGTCGTGAATCTGACGGCGAAAAGTTTTTTACTTATCAGTCGTAGGTTTTATTCTATTTTTCAACACTCAGGTATTTATTTGTCGCGTTGAACTAAATATACTAGTTGGCCAGTCAAATTCCGCTTTATATACAGATACCGGCTTGAAACGGACTCCTCATTATTACGGATAGTTTGCTTTGTCTCTGAGGAAAGGAAGGCCTTACATTTTCTCTAATTTCAACCACGGACTCACCAACGCCCGTTAATACGGACCACTTGCTACGACCTCCCGCCCCCCCGCCACTCGAGTACAAACGAGTTTTTCACGTTACTTGGTATTCCTGTGCGCAGTCTACTATTATTACCCAAAGTTCTTTTCACGCCTAGCTAGCATCGGTGGTAAGACATATTTTTCAACATGGCGCTCCCAGTTCCGAAAACGATGTTTCAGCACATGCTGAAAGAAGGAGCCAAGGTATGTGTGGATGTTTAATAGATGAAAGCAACTTATCATATTTTGTTATTCCTTGGTTTAAGTGCTAGTTGGTTGCGATGGGACGTATGGGGTTGTGTGTTAGCTCAAGTCACCTCCATCACCGGTGGTTTTTGCACGTGCGTTTGGAAGTGTCAGATTTAACAGAACCATCACTGATAAAGTACATAACGCAATTGTATTAAGACTTAAGATTTTGTGAAGGTGACCAGCAATCTTCGGGAGGGTTTAGGGCTACAAAACAGTGAAAGAACCCACTTTTTTTGCTCGAATCACCGTGCCTTGGTTTTTTGTTGAGTTGATGTTCAGCTCAGGTTTGTACAATGTACTTGTGTGTAAACTATATTTTATTGTTACATTGAAAATAGGGAGCAAGGGAAACCTTAAGTGAAAAATGCAGGCTTATTTCTGGATTTATTGGAATTTGTTACATTTAGCCAACATGGTGACAGGGGATGAAACAGGGGTCATTTTGATAACACTTTTACAATTTTTATTATTGCAACATTATAATTTGCAAGTGAAGAAATTGTCTTAGAGTCTGAAATCAAAAGCTACACTTGTAAAGTAAACTTCTAAAGGTTTTATAAAATTGACCCCAGGATTACCGGTAATGCCTGTATTAGCCACAAAGCCCATGAAATGTTGTCTACACCACCATGGTCTATGTCCCCTACTCTTTACAAACAGCAGTGTGGGTTCTTTTCAACCACAAGAACAGTGAAAGTGCTGCAGACTTGCCAACCCCCAAGAGACAAAAATCTTGAGATTCTGAACCTAGAGCTGGGAAAAGAAGTGAGAAGTAGGGAAAAGTTGTGAAATTTCTCAATATGGAAGGACTTCCAGCTGGGATTATTGCCATTAGAAGTCACGTATCATTTTAAAGCTACAATCGTGGATCAAATGCATTTGCTAGGCATTTTCTTTAGATTGAGTTTGCTACAGTACCGCTCAAAAGTAAGTTGACACTCGAAGCTCAAAACTTGAGACTTGATCCTTGTTGGGAAACAAACCTTACTGATGCTCCTACAATTATTTGGAAAAAGGACTTTTCCAGATCGCATGAGACATCTGTTGTCAACTTGAGAGAGCTCCTAAAGTCTTGAGTGTCAAGTTTTTGAGAGTTGGCTTACGGTTTTTCATCCTGTTTTGACAAGACTAGAATATCTAACCATTTGAAGATGTCAGAACAAAGGCTGTAAATTCTTCTCTGTTATTTAAGATCCGAAGGGTTAGTCCAGCCAGGGTTAACCGATGGCAAACTGTCCCTGGTGTATGGGGGAGTGTAACTAATGTGAAACCTGTGAGCCAGAAGCAATTTTGTGAGCTGTGAGCTTGTTTTTGTGTACTATTTTTTGCAATATTTAACCTCCAAATAGATGCACTTTAGTTGTTTAGTTATTTATCATGTTTGCTGAAATCCTGGTTGGAAAATATACAGAACAAGTTTTGCTAAGTTTCTGGATTACTGCAAAGCAGATGAATGTGTTTTAAATAACAATTTAACATTATGTGTGTTTTTATCAGCATTACTCAGGTCTTGATGATGCTGTTTACAGAAACATTCAAGCCTGCAGAGAGCTTACACAGAAAACAAGATCTTCCTTAGGACCAAATGGTAGGCATTGATTTTTTTTAAAATCACCTTTCTGGTTTTTATACCTATAATTGTCTAACATGATTTACTCATAATGCGCATGCTATTCCTTAGCATTAAATGAAAATTTTAAAGAATTCAGCAAAATACATAAAAATTTTAAAATAGGCAGAATTTGAAAACAAGTTGAGCGTGCAGCACTGCTATATATTGTGGTGTGAAATAATGCATTGGATTTTGATGGCCATGCAGTAGCCCCAATCAACCTTCCATCAAATATAATACATGTAATTTCAAAATGAAGTGCAGTATGCACCCTATGGTGGGCTGAAAGTTTAGCTTGATAAAAATGTTTTGACAATAATTTACATGTATAACTGCCAGTATTTCTGATTATAATCGTAAGTGATGTACTGTAGCTCTACTACTCTTCATCATACTATTTTGTTTGTTCCAATTAGACACAAATTTGAATTCCATAGTGTTTAAATGTATTTAAGATGTGTCAAATAATGGTAAACGAAACGAGGTGAACATTGGGCTATGTTTTGCATTTGTCTACTATTTTTTATGCTGCTGACTGTAAAGTTACTCCTATCTTGAGAAGTATTTGTAGACAATTTTTTAAAATAACATCAAGGTGTATTCAATTGATCAATCATACTTTTGAATAAAAATACTAGAAAAAGATCAATATGCTTTGGCTTTCATTTCATTGTTAACTCCAGAACTTTGTTGGACATTGTTAATTTAGATGAATGTAGCTTTCTAGTCATCCAAAAAATTTGTAGTTTAGATTTTTCACAATTTGTTACTTCACTAGGCTTTGCCACAGGCAGCCCAATAAAAAGTTAATTGGGTCACAACTAATTCACAAAACTTACAAAGCAAAAGCTTCTTGTGAAGTGTGTTTGGCAGGCTAAAAACGTGTAAGTCATCAGTTTAAAGGCTTGTCCGTCCCTCATTCATGTATAGCAGTCTTAAGATGAAGCTATAAGAACCTTTTTAGCTTGATTGTGTAAGTTAGATTCATACTCATGTAGTTTAAAGCAGTTAATAATTAATTATAATATTAATCTTGTGATTTTAAAAGGCATGAACAAAATGGTTGTCAATCACTTGGAGAAGTTGTTTGTCACAAATGATGCAGCTACAATAATCAAGGAATTAGAGGTATGGCTTAAATAACAATATACCAGTGAAACTGATGGGCATGACTCATGTACAGGTTATCCTTATGTAGTAGGAACTTTTAATCTTTATAGAAAACTGAAATTAGTATTAACATGTAATATATGGAACATGTTGCCATGGAAGTGGCTGTTGCAACACTGCACAAGATCAATAGCCCAGTAAATGTCTGAAACAAATAATGTATACCAAGCTTGACAGGTTTGAGAATCCCAACTGGCCGAAGGCACACCAGTTGGCTATTTACAAGTGTTGCTGTGGATTTGAACCAGGGACTACCAAGAACAAATGCAGCAAGTGGTCAGGGCATTATTTTTCCTCAGCCACCCTGCCACTTGTTATAGTTAACCCCTTTAGTAGCAGACTACCTTATCTTCTAATGATCAAATCTGCCTCATTTGCCATTACACTTTCTACTATTACTCTTGCGTTGATGTATACTCTTACCATTTTTGTAGAGCTTTGGTATAATATCTTATAATGTGAGGGCTGAGCACTCAAAATCTCCAGAACTGAATTATTGAGTGATCCTTTTTTTTTTGCAATATTATTTAACTGGTAGTTATTTTAGCCACGGTTTTTTTGTATTTGGCCAGGTACTGCTAAAATGGTTTACACTGTAGTTTAAGTTTATGTTAAGTTTTTGTTTCATTGTAAACTGACTTTGATACATGTACTACTAGGTTCAACACCCAGCAGCCAAAATGTTGGTGCTAGCATCACAAATGCAAGAGCAGGAGGTATGTACATCACAGTGGTGTGCCTGTCATTGTTAATAATCAATCAGGGATCAAAAAACCACAGTTCTGTGTTATAATCGATGATGGAATATGTTAAAATAATGCTCAATTGATTATTGTGGAAAATAAGAAAAAAAATTGCTGCAAATAAAGATATTGACACTGATCAGGGGCATAACATCCTTTACGCACATGCATACATTACTTAAGAAATTGGTAAGTTTTGGTAAGATTTTCTGTTATAAGTAAAAGCCATTTGCAGTGTCGTAACTTGACCTTGTATTGTGCAGGTTTGTTCCTGTTTGTCTCGCTGTTATTCCGCAACATTTTACATGAAAAAAACAAGTTACCCTTTGAGTAGTGGAATAAGATAAATTTGAAACATTCTTGAAGTGTTTCAGTGATTTTGTTACAAATAGTTATGGTGAGTCCTGGAACTCATCTTTTGAAAAATTATGAGTCCCAGTCCAGGGCCATTGAGTCCCAGTTCAAAAAACAATGAGTTATAAACTGAAAATGTTTGGGTTTTAAGTGACCAGGCAGTTACTGAATCTGAAGACAGACTCAAAACTCTTTATCACAGTTTACTGAAATTGAAATATAGTCTTTCTATTAAAACAACAAAATTGAGTGGACTAAAATAAATATGCATAAAGACTTCACTTCGTAATGGGATGACAGATGAGTGACTTTCATCCTTATACATAAAAACAAAGAAGTTAAATATATGTTGATAATTTCATCACTAAATTTGTGTAAGAAAAGGGGAGGTGACTGGCCTTGTGCTTGTTAACACTCCAGAACCAGCTCAAAGAAGAAAGTTTTAAAAACTTTTTTTAATATCATGCTCTATTGTAAACAAGCCGGTAAACTGCCAAGATACATTGTATGTATTAAAGAAAAGCAAAAATGCTATTTTGTACAAAGTTTTTAATACCATGTGGACCCCTGTGTGTACTTGCCAAAATGGCGATGCTACGCCCCTGCTCATGTGTTGTCTTTCTAATTGACCATTAATTCAGCTATGGCCCATTGATAACCCTTTCTTGATACAGTTTTTGTATGTTTCATCATGTCACATCATGTGGTACAATGGCTAAATACTTACTTGCTTTGTTTTGTGCAATAATATTTTTTATTAGTTGACTCTCGATAACTCGAACCTCGAGCTAACTTGGACCAAAATTGATTTCCCTTAGATTTGCTTCATACATTTACTATAATTTTACTCTCAGTAACTCGAACCCTCGATAGCTTGAACCTCCTGCTAACTCAAAGTAATTTTTGTTTCCCTTCAGATCATTCCTATGAATACCCTCAATAACTCAAACCATGCTTTAAGCACCTGACAAGTGGAAAAATGTGAACTACAGTCTGAAACGTTGAAATTATTTTAACAACCATTTATTCTTTGTCTTTACTTTTTTGTCGTTCCAGTTTAAATACAGCAGTGTCCAGCACTGCATTCATTCCCCACCCCATTTCCTCCTTTCGGGTTATTTGCTTCATACTCCCGATAACTCAAACTCCCACTGACTCGAACTTTTTTCAATTTCCCTGAAAGGTTCAAGTTATCGGGAGTCGACTGTACTTTAACTTGAACACAGGATGGTGAAAAATGAATGAAATGGAACAGATGATTGATCTGTTGGGTCAATCTGAAGATTTTTTGATGTAATATATCAAGCATGAGATGCAGTGTTTCATCACCAGATGAAACACCGAGAAGAGAGGTGAAAATATGCTGGCAGGGGTGTATTTTTGATGAACTTTGAGGTGTTTCACCTGAATGCTTGATTTAGAAGGAGAAGTTAAGAATGCAAAAATGAGCAATTTTTCATCTGATTTCCAGACACTCAGTAAACATTAATTTCCTTTGTATTTTCTTTATGAACAATTTTATTAGTGAGTTTGGGAAGATCATTTATGAAATCTCAGCCAATTCCCAGCACTAAGTACACTATGTTACTGCAGATTTCTAGTTGATGCTCATTGTAACTGTGCAGTGCACTGTTATAAATGCATTTTTTGCATTGATGGTTGGTCTATGCGACATGAGGGCTACAGCTGTAACATGTAATTTAATTGAAAAATTCATTTAAACATAATATTATCAATTTATTATTATTTTCTTTCAATTTTTCAGGTTGGAGATGGCACAAATTTTGTTTTAGTCTTTGCTGGTGCTCTTCTTGATGCTGCTGAGGGGCTTCTGAGGACGGTAAAATTGGCTGAGTTTGTTGTTTGGCTTAATTTTGTTGTTTGTAATAATCAACGTAACCTTAGCACGTGAAAGACTCCAGTATGTTTATGAAGTATTGTTAGGGCTTTTACTTAGAAAAAGTAGAAAAAGCGTCTATAGAAGGTCTGTTGTACAAGGAAAGTTATTAGATAGTTAAAAGTGCTAGTACACCAAGGACATTTCACATTGGTTTATTTCTTCTGTTGCTGTTGATTGTTATTGTCAATAAAATATAATACAGTGGTTATTTTCATATAAAATCACCATTCATTAACTTCCAGTAGAGTTTAACAGAAACTTGTATTATAGTAGTCATGCTGTTTATAACGGTCGACTGACCATCAGTGATTTTGTAACAAATAGTTATGGTGAGTCCTGGGACTTGTTTGCAACAAATGATGAGTCCTAGTCCCAAACCACTGAGTCTCAGTTCAAAAAACAATGAGACCTTTATGTAACCTATGGGGCTTTATGTAACCATGCAGACTATTAATCTGAAGACAGACTCCAAAACTCTGTATTATAGTTTACTGGAATGAAAAAAAACTCTTTCTGTTGTAAAGACTAAAAGAAATATACCTTGTTAAACAACAGCCACAACAACAGCCACAGAAATCACGTGAACAAGTTATTCTACAAAAACATGTTCAGGTTAATCGATTGATCTTTGTGTCCCACGAGGTGCATGCCATGAATAAAGGTGCTTTTTATGCATCAGGGATGCAGGACGCAGAGGTAAAAAAATTACTGAACCGTGTATATTTCCGTAGGGTGACCATTAGACACAGGTTTGACTTGATGGGGGTCTTAATAGTACTATTTCTCACGCTATTGCTATTCCATATTTTCAAACATGCTCAGTGATAATGAATAATTTTGCCTTGTTAGGGTCTCTCCCCTCCTGAGGTCATAGAAGGTTATGAAAAAGCATGTAAGAAGGCTCTAGAAATATTACCAGGTATGTAGAGTGGTCAGGTACCTGTGCATTTGAGCACCTTTTCACCCTTTAAACCCTATTAGGCTGATTTAGCAACAGAACGGGAACATCATTTGACGATGGGAAAGCGTGCGGAAAGGACTAAACTCGACTTCCGGTGCCCAATTAGCAGCTCTGCCATTGGTCAAGCCAGTTGTTTGATTTGCGCGTGCCGTCATCAACTGGTGTTCCTGTAATATTTGCAGCTAAGCTAAACAGTCACTTGCCAAACCACAGTAGGCCCTTCTATTACATTAAAGTGAGATAAACATGTGGAAACATGGTGGACAAGGTGCACAGGGGTTAGCATAGGATAGTACACACTGGCCATGCAGACTTCATTGGCTCAAAATGTGCCTTTTGAATTTCATTGCATGTTAATAATACTAACAATAATAACAATGATAATAATGGAAACTTTATTATTTTGTGTTTTTGAATGTACAATTGTAAATCTTGCTACGTATAGGCAATTTACAAATGCTGCTTGCAATTGGATTATTAAAAAAACAAAACAAAACAAAAACAAAAACAAAAAGAAAAGAAATCAAAATTGCATTAAGTCTGGGCTATTCCAATTCCTACATGTATTTCTACAACAAAAGATGTAATATGTTGCTCTAATGGTTATATTTATCATTTTCTTGATTATATAAAGTTGCTGCTTTTTTTCAATGTCATTTATCATGTCTAAATAATAATAATAATAATAATAATAATAATAATAGTTATTATTATGAAGTCGCCAGTGCTCTTTAAAAAAAAGTTATTATTATGAATAATAATAGTAGTGTGATATTATTATTATTATAATATTATTTCTTTCTTTCTTTCTTTTCAGAATTGACCTGTTCTAGTTTATCGGATTTAAGAGACAAAGATGAAGTCGCCAGTGCTCTTAGAACTGCAGTGGGTAGTAAACAGGTATGTTGTTGCTATCTTATGATTGTATGCATAGAACATCAGTAAACTGTATCTATTTTCTGTACCTTACATGCTCTGCTTTCTTGAAACAATGAACTGCCACCTCTTGCAGTACATTTTGACTGCAGTCTTTCCAGTGTAGAATTGTGTTGCATAAGAGATGGAGGTGACCAAACCACAAAATAGAAAAAAAAAAGCCTCTCTTTCTGAGCAGGATTTCTAAATGTTATGAGAGATTTTTGGAAGGATCTATACCCAGAGGAAGCAAGTCACTTCTGATTGATTGTTAGAATCTCCTTTTGAGCTCTTGTGTTTGTTTGTGAAATAAAGGAGAATTTAGCTGATGTTGGATTAATTATTTTCTTATAAATATATGTTCATGCTTTTTTCTTTAGTATGGCAATGAGGATTTCTTATCAGAACTTATTACAAAGGCTTGTGGTGAGTAAAACAAGTGTGTAAACAGTTTCCTACATGAAGTTCCTAAATACTATAAGTATCATGATTATGAAGTGGAAAGTGTACATTAATTTTTCACCTGCAGTATCACAAGAGAGATGTAATAGGCCTCAAGCGTGGACTGACTGCAGTAGTTAATCAGTAATAAACAAAAATGTTTGTTTGGGGTGCCTTGGTTGAACTTTTTCCTCTTACTGCGCTTTTCACAAACATGCAAATTCTGAAGTTCAAAAGCCAACTGACATTTGCGATTTTTGCTGTCGTCAATCATTTTAACAGACCTCTTAGGAAACAAAACTTTACTTTAACGGGTTCAAAAGGTCATGGATTGTGATTTCTGACTGGTGGATTTCAATCCATTTTGTGAGTTTCTGTGTTTCAAGGTTCGTTGCTTGTGATCATAATTATGATTGACGGCAGCGAAAAATGCAATTGTGAAGGCGCCTTTTAACTTCAGAGTTCGCATGTTTGTGAAAAGCGCAGTAAGGGAAAGAGCAGGGTGTTCATTAGGCATCAGAGATCAGAGAATTCTCCGTTTACTGCCCAGAATTCTCCCACTAAGGTTCTTTAGCCTATGACTATTTATTATTCTGCATTGAGTCTCTTTTTAAATATTCTCCTCTGACGTTACACCTTTTTCCTGCTACCAGAATTCTTATGGCCAAATTCATTGTATCGCGGTGCGCGTTTGCAAACTTCGAATGGCTTTTTCTGTTCCATCAATCATTTGAGTGGGGGCGGAGTTAATGCAAATCACGACTTGCCAAGCTTGGCCCACAAAAACAAAACTGAGAATGACTCTAGACTGCTCAAGAATAGAGAAGGAAATCGTGATGAAGAGTGGACGTTTTGTAGAAGGCAGGAGGCAGACATTGCTTTATTCTTGCAGGAGACTTGTAAGAATAAGACATCAGAAAAATCTTTGAAGAAAACTGGTCGATTATTGCCCGAAAGAGGGCAATCACAAGCAACGATCGAACCTTGAAAAACAGAAACAAACAAAGTGGATCAAAATGATCAATCACAAGTAAACATGTGTTTCCTAAGAGGACCGCTAGGATGACTGACGGAACAGAAAACCCAAAATTCCTTTTAAGTTTGTAAAACGCGCAGTGTAATAAAACAAATTTGGCTATTATGAGTGCACTTTTCCTTACTGCCATGAATATTTGTTAATTATGTATCTTTCTATAGTTTCTCTTTACTTCAACCTTGATTGATGATGTAGACTCTTGCAACTTACATGACACAATTCCTGGAATTTTCCATGTCACCAATTTTAGTTTTTGCCCAGTTTTGCATTTTTTTTAAATCTTAGTATATTCTATATTTTCTTTTTCCTTTTTTATTCCTTTACGAAAATTAATATAAAATTTATATACATTCTAAGTAAGCCTGGGAAAGTAGCTGACATTTGGCGATGCTACTACTGGTTTCCCTGCCAAAGGACGTCTGAGAAATGAGCGTAGAAATTCCACACTGGTGATGCGTCACTTCTTATTGGCTGAATCGAATTTCCCACGCAGTACGACCAATCAGAAGCACTACTCGGATCAGGGTAGTGATGCGTCATCAGTGTGGAATTTCTGCGCTCGTTTCTCACATGTCATTTGGCAGGGAAACCAGTGGTAGCGTTGCCAAATGTTGGCTGTTTTCTCAAGCTAATTCTAAATATGCTATTAGTAATTTATAGTTGCCCAATGAAGTAACATTCCTGCACATAAGTACAAAATAATAGAGCATTATCTGAAAACACAGTTGGAGACACCACAAATTGATCAAGTAAATAAAGTGGAAATGAAAGTGCTTTTAATTAAGGAGCTACAGTAGCTAGTTCAGGACAAATACTTATCTTTTTTTTTTTGTTTTGGTTCTCAGTCTCCATCCTGCCACAGAAAGCTACATTTAATGTAGATAATGTGAGAGTAGCCAAGATTTTGGTAAGTTTGAAAAGATCTGAGGAAAAACCATGTTAAGCTCTTCACCATCCCTTAGATTATGCTAGGTTAGGGTAGGTTAACACTCCATCTTGCAACTGAGTCAGAATCCTAATCAGAAGCACAAGCATTAGGAAGTCATAACCTTGAGTTTTCATTGTACTCATGGCTGTATTCCCTAGGATCTTGTGAAAACCAGATTTTCAGGGTCAAAAGCAGAATCAAAAGAAGGTCTATGGATTTTTTCTTCCCTTTTTCACTTATAAATGAAGGGGAAAACACATTAAATTATGCGTAATATACATAATTTAAAAGAAAAGAATCTCAAAAGATGAGGAAGTCTCAAGAAGCCACTTCCTCTATACATTAGATTTAGTTGTTAGTATAGTCATTAAAAGAGAAAAGAAAAAAAGGAGATCAGCTTATAATAAATTAATTTACAAATGTATGGAAAATATTTAATAGAAAGTTAATCATCTAATAATTAGTAATAAATTACAAACGATTAATTGAGAATTCTGTAAAATAATTAAATATGATTTAAGTAAACGTTTATGTTATTTGATCTAATTATTGAGCGAGTTAAGGAGTTCCACATTGTGTAGTCACTAAAGGTGAGTTTGAGCCCTAGGAGGGGTTGAAGGGAAATTGAGGTGGGGGCGGCCACCTAGGCTCATATGCAACAGCATGTATGAGTTATCAGGAAACTTCTATTTTAACTATATCTTATTTATATATTATGATAATACCTCATATGCAAATGAAACTACCTTAATAAGATTATTGTTTCAAAAGTAGGTTGAGTTTGATCGTCCGGGTGATCGTAGTCCTGAATAGGACTGTTGTTGTTGACAGTGACTGACGTTTCGACAATCTGTGCGGTAGTCATCATCAGAGTCAAAGTGAGTTCTATCACGTCAGTTGATGGTATTATACTCTGGTTATTGATCTGATTGGTCAGTTATGTTGCAATGTTATTGGTCGTCTGTCAGTTAAGCCGTGATGTTATTGGCTATGAAGACTCCTAATCAGTAATTGGTGCCTTTCGATCCGTCTATTGAAACAGTCAGACAGTCGTCTATCGTTAGTCAAATTGTCAGTTCTCCAGTCGTTCTCTCGTAGTAATAACATCACGACATAATTGACCAATCAGATCAATAACCAGAGTATAATACCATCAACTGACGTGATACAACTCACTTTGACTCTGAAGATGACTACCGCACAGGTTGTCGAAACGTCAGTCACTGTCAACAACAACAGACGACATAATTGACCAATCAGATCAATAACCAGAGTATAATACCATCAACTGACGTGATACAACTCACTTTGACTCTGAAGATGACTACCGCACAGGTTGTCAAAACGTCAGTCACTGTAAACAACACAGTCCTATTCAGGACTACGTTCACCTGGACGATCAAACTCAACCTGCAGTGAAACCTGTATTAAGTGGACACCCTCAGGGAATGCTGTAGTGTCCACTTAATACAGGGTGTCCGCGTACTACAGGTCTCAATATATAATGTCATATGAGGTGTCAAATGTCATTCAAATGAACAGTGGAAGCGTTTAGAATACTCCCAGAGACTATGACGATAGCCGTTTGCATTAATTTCTTTATTAAAGTGAACCAATTGATCAGATGAGTGAAACAAGCTCTATACACACAAAATGAAATAGAAAACAATCCTGTAAACTGAAACTAATCAAATAAGTTCGTGAAGTCACGTTTCTTAATGTAAAAATCGAAAAATTTGTGGGTGGCAATTCGAGGTAATCTTTCACATTTCCGGTGTCTGGCATGTTGGGTGGTGGAATTTAATTACAAGTGTCCGTTTAATACAGGTCGGCAACAATAGAAATGACCGCTTAAATGTCCGCTTAATAAAGGTTTCATTTAAAGTAAATAAGGGAAATAAATTTGGGGACTTCGGCTACTGTCCGCTTAATAGAGGGTGTCCGCTTAATACGGTGTCCGCTTAATACAGGTTTCACTGTACTTTTGAAATGACTCCTAGGTTCAAACTGTTCACAGTTTTAAGATTATTGTTGTCGTGTTAGGGTTCTGGTATTCATAGTTCAGAGGTTGTTCAAGGAATGGTTTTCAAGCGAGAGGTTGAAGGTGATATTAAGGCACTTAAGGATGCAAAAATTGTAGCATTTTCTTGTCCACTGGACTCCATGGCAACAGAAACTAAGGTGAGATGAGTTATTAGATTAAAAAATGTTTATAACTGTGCAGAGATCCAAGGAACTGGGTCAAATTCGCAGGCATCTAAGCATGACCACATCATGAAGTGAACAAACATTTGATGTTTTCAGCCTTTTTATCACTTTTTAAATAATAAAGGTCTGTAAATCAGACTTGTTGATGGTTTTTGGATATAAGTAGCTTGCAAATGCAGTTGTATTTCCAGTTGTCACTTATCTCAGCCCAAAAAGTGATGTCTGCTCATAAATTATTTTTATGCCACAGAAATTGTTTTCGGCTCCCACTTGCAGAGGTTACTTTTTAATGAGAAAGAAGGGACAACTTAAAATATTTCTGCATTTGCTAGGTTAATTTTTTACCACATTCAAAGGGACAATGTCTAAATAATTTCAATATTTCAGGTGCCTTTGAATATATATATACATGTGCTAAACATGTGCTGACGTTGGACAAAAAAAGCAGCTACTTCGCTCAGAGAAGCTGGCTAATCCTCCCCCCTCCAAAAGAAAATCAATGAAAGAACTTTCAAAAATTGTTGATACAGCCAATTACTGTACTCAAACCAGTTGCTTCTTCTAAGCTAGCCCCTCACATAGATCAAACACATTTACTTCAGAAATGAAAAGAGAGCAAAATGCAAGTTTAAGGGGAAAATTGGGGGGTTAAATGGTTGGACGTGAGAAAATGGATAAACAGATGAAACACAGATCAAAGGCAGAGGATGTCTTGATAAATAAAATTATCAAAATGCTACTCCTCACCCTTGGTCTTATTTGCTCTCAATTTGTTCAGGGTACAGTGTTGATCAGAAATGCAGCAGAGTTAAAGAGCTTCAGCAAGGGAGAGGAAGAACACTTAGAAAAGGTAAGCTCCAGAATGCTTTTTCAATTGGTCATAAACGAACTACAGGCTTACTAATTCTCGGATAAAAGTGTACAAGCCATAGGGAAGGCGTACTGAGACCAGTGACTGGGTGAAGGTGAAAATAGGATTTTCTCAGGGGTCCACATTTGGACCACTTACGTGGAATTTTCTTTGAGAATGATGTGCCTAACATAATATTAGAGTCTAGTGCTTCAAAGTTAGTGGATGTCCATCAGGTCTACGTAGCAAAGAAAACAACTGAGACTGTAGAAATACGATCATGAAAGGATAAGAAAGTGGCACCAAGAAAAGCTATTGAGTAAAGACATTTACAATTAAGGTCAAGGTATGGTTGTGTAAAATGACTGAAATTCATAGGAAAAATTAATAGGAAAGTTGATCTAGGCATTTGAGGTGACAAAGTCAAACCAACACAGCCCATTAAAATCGTTGGTGTAATCTTGACAGTAATTATAAGTGATGCATGTTAGAAATGCAGTAGTTAGGATGGTCTAACCTAAAATGTACTTTCTTGTAGCAAATCAAGGCTATTGTTGATGCTGGTGTTAACTGTATTGTAACTGGTGGCAAGGTCGCTGAGATGGCCCTTCACTTTTGTAACAAGTATAACATTTTAGTTGTCAGGTGCGTATATGTTCTTTTGAGTTATTATCCTGAAGCACAATGGACTCATGTTGATATCATTGTTTGCAGGCTAAATTCAAAGTTTGATTTGAGAAGACTCTGTCGATCAGTTGGAGCAACAATACTTCCCAAATTTGTAAGTTTGCATAATAGCTTTTTTTTATTCTCCCACCATTGGCTACCTCGATTTTCAGCCACTGATCTAAAAATAAGCCCGAGACTGGAGTCAAGAGAGCAGCGGAAGTTGAACCTACCAAGTTACATCAGAATGAAAATAGTCTTCGGGCAAGTTCCCCATTTGAGAAGAGTGCTGCTCCAATCTTTGGCAGCTTGCTCACCCGTTACTTTCAATTGACGTTGTTTTTGTTGTATGAAACTGGTAGCTTGTAGGGGGTACTAAGTGAATTTGAGCAACGCTCAAAAAAATGTACTTCTGATACCTTTTATGAGACCCTGGTTCTGTCATTTCTAGAAGGACGTTTGATATCATGAGACCTTGTTCCCAGATTCCCTCGTCTTCTTGTAGTAGTAGTCGTCGTCGTCGTCGTCGTCGTCGGAGTCGGAGTCGGAGTAGTAGGAGTAGTAGGGGTAGTAGTAGTAGTAGTAGGAGGAGGAGGAGGAGGAGGAGGAGGGTAGTAGGGGTAGTAGGGGTAGTAGGGGTAGTAGTAGGGGTAGTAGTAGCGGTAGTAGCGGTAGTAGTGGTAGTAGCGGTAGCGGTAGCGGTAGCAGTAGCACAGTAGCAGTAGCAGTAGCAGTAGCAGTAGAACAGTAGCAGTAGTAGTAGTAGCAGTAACAGTAGTAATTATAATATCCCAGTAAGAGGAATTATCATTCAACAAGCAGCGTTAATCATTTTGTTTAACTGAGTTTAGTCTGAAAAATAGGAGGGAGACGGCACTAAAAATCATTGGTTACCGAATACTTTTGTCTCCCATCATTTCAGACAACTCCCACATCAGAGGAGATAGGTCAGTGTGATGAAATCAAGGTGTCAGAGATTGGTGACACTTCGGTTACTATTTTTAAGCAAGGTACTGAACTACTTAATCACTCATTGATTAATTGATTGATTTATTGATTGATTTGCAAAAACAACAAGAAATTTTAGGTTTACTTGTAGGTATAGTGAAGTAGATTATTCTTACAATCAAGAGATGATAAAGTTTAAGAGAATAAATTGGCCTTTTACGATGCTGCTGACGGTAGTAACGAGGAACGGGAAATGTGCGATTCGCCCAACGGCCAGTTTGCAAGGGTTTAATGTGTGTTTGACGCGTGAAAATACAGTGAATCCACATATGGAATCCAAGCTAAACTAAAATAACATCTCCGATAAGTTTGTTCACCGTATTGTTGAGTGTTGTATCTCATCCGGCGAATCTACTTACGTCCGGTGGAACGCCGTCGGGCGAAAGGACTGCAATTCATATATTGACACGCACTCAAAACGAGTATCTTAAGACTTGCACCAGTCGGACTCACTTGATCCCTCTGTAATCTTGGGTTTTAGAGCGCGAGGAGACGGCTGTATCTACTGTTGTAATCCGTGGTTCCACTGAGAACATCATGGACGACATTGAGCGAGCTGTTGATGATGGAGTGAACACGTTTAAAGCGCTTACCCGCGATGATCGCTTCGTACCAGGAGCTGGTGCCACGGAAATTGAACTGGCTAAGCAGATATCCAGCTTTGGAGAGGTGTGTTGAGTTGTAGGTCTTTACAAACTATGTATCAGTGTCACTCTGCTTTTGAATTCAAAGTCGCTAAGGCTTGGTAATTATATCTGTGAAACGTGTAACTTTACTGCAAACGCTTTTCCTTTGTTACAAAGAAAGATCTTAACAGCCTGCTATTAGTTTCCAAACTACAGTTGAACCTCCATGTGTGAAAAGGGATTGGGGGAGGGGGGAAATACGAAAGGTAAAAAAATCCCCACTCCCCATTTTCGTCCCTACTCGGTGCCCGCCCTTTAGACGCCTACAAGCAGGTGACGTGCGCCCCCTCTCCTAAGCGACAAGTTTGGATGGTGGCTTTGAAGAGTCTTGAACGTGTGAACTTGTATTGCTGATTAGCCGTTAACTGATTCCTATTTCCTGTTTTCCCTCAGACTTGTGCAGGCCTTGAACAATATGCCATCGACAAATTTGCCGAATCCTTGGAGGTCATTCCCAGGACCCTCGCGGAAAATGCTGGCGTGAAGCCCACAGAGTTGATATCTAAACTCAAAGCTGCCCACCAGGGTGGGGACAAAAATGCTGGCTTTGATAACGAGGTATAGTTGAAGTACTAAATAACGTAATGTAAAATTTGATTTCAACACGGAGGTACTGAGCAGAAAAATAGAACTGACATAGCTTGAAAATCTTAGGCAGTCGACACAAAAATAAAATAAATGTTAGACAATACTAAACATTTTCAATTCGATTTAAAAAAGAGAAGAAATCCTAATAATGCCTAATATAATGCACAAGCTAAAAATTATATAGCTAAAAAAATATATATTTACCAATCCTGAATCCAGCTGTTTGATAAAGTTTTGTTGTTTTGTTGCTGACCGTATTTGGTCTGTTAAATTGTTCCTCATCTTTGGGTCATTGTTTGTAAATGTGTCAGCGTAGAATCTTGGGATTTTTTGTTTTGATCCTTTTATTTACAGTGGAATCATGATTTTCAAACGCCTTTTTGGGAAAAGCTTATTAGACCGAATTATCAAGAGGTGCGAAAAATCGGGGATGATATAGGCCATTTCCGTGGGGGAATAAGTTCCAGTGTAACGTGGTGACACCGACATACATGATCTGACGTAACTTTCGATGTTGTTTTTCTTAGGGTGGTGGAGCTGCAGTGAAAGACGCAGTAAAAGCAGGAATCTTAGACTTGTATCTTGTAAAGCACTGGGCTATCAAGTTCGCTACTGATGCAGCTGTTACAGTAC